AATAAAGTTATTCCATCTAATTTCTCCCAGCTTCTACTTATTTTCATCTTCTTATACTCTTCAGGCAATCATTTGTTAGAAGAAAAATGTATTACGTAGACTTCGTTCACTTAATTAATGTGAAGCCAAATCATAAAGCATCAAGGGGATAGTGGTAAAGTTCCAGAAAAGGATAATTTTCTGCTGATGGCCTTCTTAGAGACTTCCATTGTTAATATTCTGTTGTGTAACTGATATAACCATTCAGTTAGCATTATTTCTAATGACAGGTAGGGTGCCTGCCTACGAACTGGGATTTTTTAGAAATCCTACCTGTTAAAATAAATATTGTTGTCTGTTCTTCTCTTCTTTTCTCTCCTCTTCTCTTCTCTTTTAGCAGTTGCAGACTTGCAAAGGATGTTCCCCACTCCTCCTTCCTTGGAACAGCACCCTGCATTTTCTCCTGTAATGAATTATAAAGATGGAATCAGTTCAGAGACAGTGACAGCATTAGGCATGATGGAGAGCCCTATGGTCAGTATGGTTTCAACACAGCTCACTGAATTCAAAATGGAAGTAGAAGATGGATTAGGAAGTCCTAAACCAGAGGAAGTAAAGGTAATTTCAGTATATGAATTTTATCGAGCCAGGGTGGTTTTCAAGCGGATTCATGTACATTTTCCTCAAAATACTATTTATATGCCACATATACCTAAGTTTCTAACAATCCTCTGAATTGGATCATGAGGTACCTTGCTTGGTATTTTAATTATAGTGTCTTGATTAATTTAAAATGTTGGTATTAGCATTTTCTGCTGATTAGATGAGAAAAATATGGACTTGCAGTCATTTCTGTTATTGTTGTGGTATGTCCTAAGTTGTTCACTGGCATTATCACTGCCCCCCCTTTGTTGTCCCAGGACTTCTCATATGTGCACAAAGCTCCCACCTTCCAGCCTTTCGTGGGGTCTTCCACGTTTGCTCCGCTGAAGATGTTGCCGAGCCAGTGCCTGCTACCTCTGAAGATACCTGATGCCTGTTTGTTTCGGCCTTCATGGGCAATCCCTCCTAAAATCGAACAACTGCCCATGCCACCTGCAGCCATTTTCAATCGAGATGGCTACAAGTATGTGCAGGGACTGCATTATGTTACTCGCCCTATGAAATGTGGTTTTGATCTTAACTAAATATTTACTTAAAATGATGACATCAGCATATCATTTGAAACTTCCCCTTTTTGGTCATTCATGTTTTTGTGCACATTATTTTGTGTTGAAAGTGTGCATATTTTCTAACTAAATGTTATGTACATGGATAAATTAAGGTTATTTGGGTAGAGAGCCATGGTGTGCATGCTCATTCAGTATCAGATCCATGTCGACCACAGAGTCAAACACTAGATTGGAGTTGGTAATATTATTTGGATAATGGTGGTAAGTATTTGATTTATACAGATTGGTGATTCCAAATGTGCTTACTTCAAGCACTTTAAAATGAAGTGTTAGCATGGACACTTTTCTCTGACGCTGACCCCATGTCATATAAGAAAGCAGCAACAGGGCTGGTATGACACGGAGAAAGGAGAAGGGGGTATATATTGTCGCTTGAGCACATTTCACTCGGTCAAAAAACAGTAGTCTGTCAACAGTGTAGATTCCGTTTCCCCTAGGATTAGTAATTTCTTGAAAAAATAAATGCTTTAAAATACAAGGCCATAAACTCAAATTTCTATCAGGACCAGGTAAACAATGTGTGGATGACCTGCGTTGGGTGAAGCAAAAGTCTAGGCATTACTGATGGTCACTGTCATCCTGAGGGGCAGTAGGAGAGAGCAGCGTCTTTGATGGAACTGTTAGAATATGCCTCATTTATTTATTTATTATTTCTTTAAAATTTTATTTATTCATGAGAGATGGGGAGTGGGGACACAGAGGGAGAAGCCGATTCCCTGTGGAGCAGGGAGCCTGATGCAGGACTCTCATCTGAGGACCCTAGGATCTTGACCTGAGCTGAAGGCGGACGCTTAACCAGCTGAGCCACCCAGGCATCCAAGAGTATGCCTCATTTAAAGGGACCGTGTGCTATCCAGTTACAGTGCATTGTCCAGGCAGGAATGTGGGAGACTGGTGATCTGCATTTTTATGGAAATCTCCTTTTAAAAAATGTTGGTAGTTAATGCAGAGTTACATTTTAGGAGCCAATAAGATAAGACAAACTCCAGATCCAGCCCTGTGGGCTGTATTTGTGACATCACAGAAAACCATCTTGATGAAACCAACTTTAATGTCTTAACAGGCTTTATGTGTATGTATGTAAAGTCAGCGTCAGAATGTGAAAAACGGTGACAGAATGTAGGATAAAAGAACCCAGACTTAGGAAGGTAGAACTGTGCTGTCAGAGGACTCCATTCCTGCCTTTTTTGTTTACTCCTCTCTATGACCTTAAATGACCAGCTTACCTGAGTCTTCCCTTCTTTAAAATTGGGATAATCCTGCCTGACTTCCCCCACACGATTTTTGAAAGGTTCCAGCGGCTCTGGAGGTATTGTGGCAATAACATCTCATCATCAGGGGGCAAGAGCGTGCTCAGAAGTACCCTGGTGGTGGTCGCTGGGCTTGTTTTCAGCTGCCGTGCTCCAGTCGTGCTGGAGCTTCTGTAAGTGGGGACTGATCTAGTCCAGCGGGGCTCACGGACCCAGAAGGGTTGCCACCCCATTCTCATCCAGGGCAGCAGCACCAGGAACCCATCTGACGGTTGAATTTCTTAATACACACAGACTCCTCAAAAGAGTGACATGCAGCCCTTTGCTGTATGATAGTTTAAATAATCAATAATTCAGATCATTGTTTAGGTATATTAAATCTATCCTTTGCCATCCCAGAGATCCTTGGTATTCTCAGTTGGCACTGTTAAGAGCTATTGTTGATGAAGGAAGTGTTTTATTTTATTTTATTTTTTTAACATTTTATTTATTTGAGAGAGAGAGAGACAGTGAGAGAGAGCATGAGCGAGGAGAAGGTCAGAGGGAGAAGCAGACTCCCCGTGGAGCCGGGAGCCCGATGCGGGATAATTTTTAAAAAACACTGATATTTTAACAGATTTAACTAAAATATTTTTATTGACATAACAACCTGTCATGAGTGTTTAGCCTCTGTATTACTTAAGATTGGTTTTTGATTTCCCGCAGATGATTCTGATTTAATTTGATGAAAATAATTTTTAAAAAACACTGATATTTTAACAGATTTAACTAAAATATTTTTATTGACATAACAACCTGTCATGAGTGTTTAGCCTCTGTATTACTTAAGATTGGTTTTTGATTTCCTGCAGATGATTCTGATTTAATTTGATGAAAACATCTGTTCCTTGCCCTAAAGATATTTGAGCCTTTTAAATTTTTTTTTTTAAGGTAAATAAGAATGTTGAATCCTCATTTAACTCTCTCCTAATTGTTACCTATTTTTTTACCCCCTCTTTTTGTAATACATTTTAAGCTATGTGCTTTACCATTCCATAATTTTGGGTATTTGCTGTGTGAACATTTATAAAATTCAAAACCCAGTTCCCAAACTGTACACTTAAGAGTTGTACAGTATTTGCATATTATGGATTACCAGAATTATTCAATATTGTGTTTTGTTAACTATGAAGGTGCTGAGGACCATCTAACTTCATTCTAGACTTTATCACTGAAAACAAAAGCATTTATTTATGATAAGAACAGAAGGAATTCCTAATCATGAGGGGAGGTAACTAACCTAAGTTGGGAAAGATAATATTAGCAATATCAGGTCTCCATAAACCAGTTATTTTAGGTCTTATCGTTTGTTGCTAATGTCTCGAGTGATAGAAGACTTTTTTGTGGGATGTTACCCTGCTTATTTCCCTTGATTGGTGTGGAGGAGGGGCATTCTTGGGGCAGATGTTGGCCTATAAATAATTTTAGTGAATATAATTAATGTGGGATGTGGGAATTTCCTACAAGTATTAATATAGAAATACTGATTATTGATGTGGGAATTTCCTAGAAGTATTAATGCAGAAATATTCCCCTTGATTAACTGTGTTGGTTGGACTCAGTATTTTTATCCTATTTGAATCAGTGAGGAACAGCAGAAAGGTACCAAGAAATATGTGATGTCTACAGCTATCACTGAATATTGTAATATGTCATCCAGCTGTTAAAAAAATAAAGCCATCCAAAGAAAGAACATCTCACTTAATGCCTATGCTGAGATTTTTGTAGAAATTAGGATTAAGAAAAAGTTTATCTCTGGAAAAATATTGTTTGGAAGGTTAACCCCCCTAGACTACAAACTGGCTGGGTTATATGCAGCATCGTGTTAACTATATTTTTGTGGCTAGGTCAGCGAAAATAACATCAGGTCAAACACTGGAAGAGATAGAGGGACTTTGAGTCCTTTACTTTGAGTTTAATAAGTTTTGCTTAGAGTTGTTTCATCAACAGACCTTCAAAACAGTTGTAACTGAAATTATAACTAAGCATTATGTTTCAGACTTGGTACATCAAGACCTTTTTGCTATTACAAGTTTTATTTATATGTTATTTTTAAAATTACAACAAATACCTAGGAATTCTCAGAAACCCTGGAAAATGTGTTCAAGTTCTAGGCAGGTTTTGGGATATATGTATTAAATGGTTTTTTTATAAAAGAGTCAATGTTCACAGTGTATAAACTCTTATCAAACAGGTGTATAGAAGCTTTCATAAATAGTTTATATATTGTGTGTTACTACAGCTGTCTGATTTTTTATTTTTTACCTCCCCCATTTGATTTCCTTAAAAAACTGATGTATGTTGAGAGGCATATAGGTAAGAGTTACTAAAATGAGAAACTTAAAAAAAAAAAGACTGTAAAAGGAGTCCGGAAATAAAGAGCACTATCTAGTAAGTGAGGCTGGACTTTAGCCTAAGTGACCACATATGTGGCCTTAGACGTAAGTAGGAGTTATTACTCTGATCTGTGACATATGTTTCTCCTCCCTGCCTTAGTACTGGTAAGTCCTTATGGCTTAAATGGCACGCTAACAGGCCAGGCATACAAGATGTCAGACCCAGCCACCCGTAAGCTGATCGAGGAATGGCAGTATTTCTATCCCATGGTGCTGAAAAAGAAAGAAGAATTGAAAGAGGAAGAGGAGTTGGGATACAACGATGATTTCCCTGTGGCTGTCGAAGTAATTGTTGGTAAGAAAATATTTTGCCTGAAGAACTTTATTCTATCTTCTTCATCTTTCTTAATTTAAAAAGATAATCATTGAGATTCATCAAAAATAATCTCCATAATTTTCCCATTTTTTTTTAATTCTCTTGATACAGTGGTATATGCTGAGTAGTTATCTTGCCTGAAGCGCCAGTGGTCCCTGTCTTCCAAATGCTATTATCATAATGTTGGAGCACATGTTTAAACAGCTATTAACTTAGGAAGGAATGGAGCACATCACTTTTGGCAGTACCTAATGAGCACCTCATTTTCATCATTGAGCTTTGACTCTGACCGCTAGAATATCAAAGTTGGCATCCCGGTGTGAACTTTTTCTCAGGCCTGCTTCTCTCCTTGCTCTCTTTACTTACAGGTGGTGTTCGGATGGTTTATCCTTCGGCATTTGTTTTGATCTCTCAGAATGACATCCCAGTTCCTCAGAGTGTTGCTGGTGCTGGAGGCCATATTACAGTGGGGCAGCAGGGACTTGGTAGTGTGAAGGACCCAAGTAACTGTGGGATGCCACTTACCCCTCCCACTTCTCCAGAACAGGCCATCATAGGTGAGTACAATCCAGGAATGTACTCATCCAGGTGGAGGAGATCACAGAAAACCATGTAGCTTCCTTGCCATGGAACAGATGAATAAACTCACATTGAGAAATGCCTTATGCCAAGAGATGGAGGTAGAGTGACATGGGAAGTCTGCAAAATACAGAAGGAAAATTTTCAACAAATAGAATGGATGTGCTTCCGAATTTTAATTGTGCCCTGTTAGTCTTTATTCCAGTTAGACAGTGTAGTTGTTTCTCTTAAGTTCTCTACACACATCTGTCCCTTTACACACATGTATGTGTGTACACACACACAGACATACACGAACAAGGGACAAGGTGGAGGCTGCTCTTTTTTTCCTTAAAACAAATGGAAAACACTTAATCAGAAAATAGCTGAAACATTTGCCTAGTTGGCCATTGCCAGGCAGGAACATGTCTGGTATAATTCTTTTCTTGTTATATTATAAAGGTAGACTGGCATTTAGAAGCTCTCAGGAAAATGCTTTGTTCTGCCAGTCATCTGTCTACATTAATGATCAGTATTAATTACATATGAAACTTTAAAAAATTTCCTTTATGAAAAAATTCAGAAATTGTTTAAATTGGGAGCATTTTGCTATCTTTGGAGTAGTATATTTTCTGTGTTAACTTTTTGGTTGTTGTAGTTGACATTGTTTTAATTGGAAATCTAGTCATTAATATTCATCAGACTTGAGCTGGAGGGAGATTATTTATAGGCTTTTTAATGTGGGCCATGTTAGCAAAAGCATCAGAGTAGATACAGTCTTGACTGCTGAACTGAAAACAGATTATGCAGCATAATACACACTTACGTGGCTCTTTTCATGAGATTAGATAAGATGGCATTTCACAGTTTCCGGCATGGTGCTTGGCATGTGCAGGGTACTCAGTAAATGTTCATGGTTAAGCAGTATATCGGGTGCAAGTATAGAGACTGTGATTGAGCACACCTAATTTAAAAGTCTGGCTATATAGCTTTTACTAGGTGAGTTGGCCTTATTAAATTCTCAAACTTGGCCTGAGCCTCCAATTCCTTCTCTGTTAAGTACTACGTACTTGACAGAGCTATTACACATACTAGGTAAAAAGCTTGACAGCGCTCTGTAGGCAGCAAAGCAGTCTACAAATGGTGGCGTAAGCAATTTGAAGCAAAACACGATTATGTTATCTGGAAGGAGTTACCTGGATACGGTGTGGAAGGCAGAGAAACGGGCAGCAGGCAGCCTCTGTCTTGAGAAGCCACGCAGTTGCTAAGACAGTAAGAAGAAAGGGACATCCAACTCTGATATGGCAGAGCAGAGAATTTGGATGATTCCTTGTGAAAGGATTTGCTCCGTTTTTATTAAAAAAGAAGAAAACCAAAAAAAGGAAAAAGAAAAAATACTTCTACAGACGTTTTAATAATCATCATAGAGAAGATATATTGATACAGAGACTAGAATTAGTATCTCTTAGGGATATTTGTATTCAACTTAAAATTGAAACTTAAAATGGAAGGCCTGCTGTATGCATGATGCCCTAGGGTCTGATCAGTTAGGAACGCTAAATTTCACGATTCAGAAACACCAGGTTTTGTTTATTGTGGTTTTCAGTGTGGACTTCCTAACTCCGGGTCTTTACATTACTTCCTCTGACTGTGTAGGTCATTTGTGCTAAGCCCTGGGTAAATAAATCTCCTGATGCCTCCTAACTCTCTAAAACCAACCAAATAAAAGCAATTGGAATCTTTGTTGTAAAGTGAATTTGTCTTAATTTTTGACATCATGATACAATGAATTATAGCTTAGGACTCTTAATGCTGTCTCAGAGACAGTCTTGGTCAGCCTTGTCATTCTGCAGTTGACTAACATTGAGCATTGCCATGTTTTCCTACATATAGGACAAAATGTGTCCCCTTTCCCCCTAAAATGGCCAAGAATCTTCTAGATTAGCAGGGGACCTAGGAGGGCCAACTGGTTTTGGTGAAATCACTCATGCCTCATGTGGATAGGTACCTCTGCTTGTGTCTCCTATTTATGGAGATAATTTTGAGGAACAATATTCAGTATGTATTTGACGGCATGGAGTATAGGTCTTGTCTAATTCCCTATGAGGTATCATCCCCATTTTAATTAAATCATTAAAAGCTACTGAAAAGCATTAACCCAGCTTTAATCTGAAAAAACTGTGCCTTATTTTCCTCATCCTTTTTATTTTTTGGTCGTATTCATCCCGTATGACACTGTGGGTATATGATCTCTTTGGCTAAATTGTAAGGTGTTTGGGAGCACAGGGCTATGTGTTCTACTTCTGTTTCTCTGTTTATCCTAGTTTTATGATAAGCATTTGCATATCCATTGTAGAATTGAAGTGAATTACTTTGTACCGTATACCAAGTCAGGGAACTTTAAAGGTGAAAGAGCAGTAAAAGACCAAATTATTTTGTCTCCTTTATCTAATTTTTAATACAATAATTCTTTCATGGGGAGCAAGCAATTTTTAGTTCCTTGGAATGTAAGCATTTTGATGCTGGTTTTTGTTTTTTGTCTTAAATAGAGCTAAGCCCAACCATTCAGCTCATCTGATGGTTGTGTTCCAGCATATCAGGACTACTAATTTGTGGTATAAGGTTGTTTATTTTTCAGATGAGGGTGGAGGTTTCCAGAGTGCTTAAAATTGATTATTTTGTTCAAAATGTTTTGTATCATAGTTCTGTTGAGGATAAAACCCACAATATATCTATGAAGTTAAATAGATTAAAGTAATTGAATCAGAATTTAATACTGGAAATCAACTTCAATATTTGTCTGGTGTGTGATAGAAATAGTAAAATACTCATATAACCAAAAACCAGTATTACCAGTAATCCTAATGCACCTAATAGAAAGAAATGGGATTACATACAACCATAGCTGGAAAAGCTAAGTGGAGTTATTAGAGAGAAACTAGTGAATAATCCTCTGATACAGAATGTCAAGATAACCTTTCAGTATTTTAGCTCTAAGATTTCATAAATTGTGTCAGGCATAAGGACAGACAGTTCCACACGCAGATTTGAAATTTGACCTTGTTAAAAGCTTTGTGCCATTAAGTTCTTTCTCCGACCCAGGGCGCTATGTGCAGTTACTGCATAGATTTTTAGCTAAATGAGCAGAAAGCTCCCTCTGCTGTTTTGTTCTGCCTTGAAACTTACTTATTGCATTGTCGATTTAAAAATTTAAAACAATCTATTCGTGGTCACATCTTTAGTACTATGATGTATAAGCCTTTATAGGTAAGTTGTCTCCAATATCTGTAGAGTCAGAATGCCTCTGAATGGCTATGCCCTTGGGTTGTGTGAGTGTGTGAGTGTTGATGTGATGAACTATTTTAGGGAAAAGACAAAGAACTGTCCAAAGTGCCAGTACACACAAATTGTGCTTAGAGCTATAGGTAGTGTTATTGCCAGGGCGCTACATGAATAACACGGGTTTCAAAAATCCAAACATTTCTGTGACGTAAGCTTGCAATCTGTGTACCAGGAGACCTTTTCAGATAATTTTCACATTCCCAAGTTGTCTGTCTTTTCCAGGGGACAGTGGAGGTACGCAGAGTGCTGTCAGTCACCTAGGCTCCCAAGACGGGGGGATGATAACTATGCACAGTCCAAAGAGATCGGGGAAGATTCCTCCAAAACTCCACAATCATATGGTCCATCGAGTCTGGAAGGAATGCATCCTCAACAGAACCCAGTCCAAGTATGACTTTTGTATTACATCTGGATCATGGTTTAGTAACACCATCTCTTTGATTACTATGTGAGGAGTGTTAGTCACATTGAACCATTGTGTGACCAAACCTGAAGGGTCATTGGATTGGTAGATCATCTTTTTGAACATAATAGTGCAAAATTGAATGCAAGGATATTAAAGATGTTGACTTGACTTGATTTGATTATCTAGGAAATTTGGAAGTTCCTGAGTATCTCAAGATTGGTAAGGTATCCATCTGGTATTTTTTAGAAAGGATGGCTTAGGGCAATTGTCAGTGGGTTGGTTTTCCTCTGTATACCAATTTATGAATGTTTTCTATTTGCAAAGGGAAATGACCTTCTTTGTCACATTTTCTGTGACATAGGCCTTCTGTTTTAAATGGCAATACAGTTCTGAACAGAACTGATGATAGAGGGGTGTTTGCCACCTTCTGTGCTTCTGTTGGTTTATTTCCAGAGGCCATATTCTTTTCTTCCCCTATCTGACTTTGCTTCCTTCCTTTGCCCCCATCCCTCCTCTTGCTCTCTTCCCTGCCTTCCTTAACATATTTTTGGAAAAGGGGAAGAATTGATTCTGAGAAGAGATTGCTGGTGGTGATTATTTTAATTACATGAATGATAACAAACAGTAGTCAATAAATACTCTTCCACTTACCAGGGTTTACATAAACATATTCAGCATATTTTCACATCTCTTGATATAACTGAGATGTCCCCTTTCTGGAGTGAGGAAGTAAACAAAGGAGTTTTCATTCTCTAGAACAGAATAAATATGGACACTCTGGCCAAGAACTGCTAAAAAGTCCACTCCTTTTAGAAATCAGTTAAATGTTTCTTCAGTCACTACTACTTAAAGTGTTTGTCATACAGATATAAAAGCTGTCATGTGGGTCTAGATTTTAGGAAATTCATACTATGTATTTATCTCTTGTGAATTGGTTCTAGATTAGACTGCTAAAGAAGGTATAGTAGATAAAATCTAAAATAATTGCAGTGGAAGATTATATGTCATGTTCTAGAACTAAAAAGGGATCTCTAGTCACTTGAAAATGATCCTTTGCTCTAGAATAATTGGTGCAGATATTTTCAACTCTAGCTACAATGCCTGGATAATTTCCAAGTTAACATTTTCTTTTTCGTTTCTTCTCATTTACTGTCTTTGATTTTTATCACTACTAACTTGTCACCTCCACCAGCTCTAACAGCCTCTTTAATCCGCAGCACAGAACAGGGCAGTGAGACACCCAGAAGGGCAAGGGAGGGTGGAGAGTAAGAGAAGTCCCTCTAGAGCTGTCACTGGAGCACTTTGCAATATCAGCTGTAGCTAAACCAGCAATACAGAAATACTGCCCAGTGTTCTTACTGTCACTGTGTAATAATAGACATCTGCTTTTTGCTACCAATTACTAGTGACAAGTAGGAGGTAATTTTTTCCTTGTCTTTAATTCACATTACAAGTGTAGAGTGCTGCTTAAATGCTAGTGAATATAGGAGTTTTAAGAGTGGCTTAAACAGTCTGTCTCAGGGCATAAATTCACAGATGCTGGGAAAAGATAATTTTAAAAATTTAAGTTAATTTCTACAAAATTTAGGTGACTTTTTAAAGCAACAACTAATAGTGCCAGGTAGTGTTTTAAGTGCTTTGTATCCATGTTAAAATGTGCAGTCAACTTAAATAGAAATATTTTGAATCTTGCTTCTTCTAGTGCATAGAACAAGTTTGCTCTCCCTACGCCCCTCTCCCCACCCCCGCCCCCAACCTTGGATTGCTCAGCACTATCAGCTAGATAACATTACTATGTGAAATGTATTCAGGTCTTTTAAAATATCCCTCTCCCCCATTGAGGTATAAGTATTTTCTCATGTTTACACAAGTCACATTTTTAACCTTTTTTAGGAGGAGCCAAATGTCAACTCCAACTCTTGAAGAAGAGCCTGCTAATAATCCTGCTACTTGGGATTTTGTGGATCCAACCCAAAGAGTCAGCTGTTCCTGTTCTAGGTAGGTAGTAGACAAGGCAGAACAGGGGTCCGATAAAATGTTGGGACCTTTTGTTGGCTGTCTCGTGGACTCTCAGACCGCTTTTTCTTTATTTTGTTTTGTTTTGTTTTCAGTCTTCCTCCTCTAGTAGAGAAGGAAAAGATAGGTCTTTTCTTAAATACAGATGATAACAGTTTTATTGTCAGGACTCAAAAAGAGCTTTATTTGACAACTGTGACTGTGGCCCTGTTATCAAATTGCTCCCACAAATTTTTTTGTGGTAACTACTCCAAAACCAAAAGGCATTTGATAAGACAATCTATTCCCCTTTAAATGAATTTATTTAATTGTTCTTAATTTTAAAATAGAGGTAAATACTAAACAAGTTGGCTAGAGTTCATAGAATTTGGATTAAATCAACCTTCCATAGATAATTTGTCTTGTTGTCAGTGCTGGTATGTTTTGATGCTTGAGGTAGGTATTTAGTAATAAAACCTGCCAGAAGCTAAAATTATTCATTCAGTTAGATACTTGAATAGAACCCTGAATTGATTTCTGTAGAAAATATTTGCTCCTCTGTATATTACCTTGACGTATCACTCCTTGTAGTAGTAAAGAGTCTTATTGTCATGGGCTTTCATTAGGGTTCTTAGATTTCTTTTTTTTTTTTTTTTAAGATTTTTTTTATTTATTTCACACCTATGCGAGTGGGCAGAATGGGTGCACGCAGGGGGAGAGCCAGGAGGAGAGGGATGGAGAGAATCTCAATCAGACCCTGTGCTGAACACAAAGCCTGATGCGGGGTTTGATCTCATGACTCCGAGATCATGACCTGAGCCAAAATGAAGAGTCGAACGCTTAACCAACTGAGCCAGCCAAGTACCCCAGCGTTCTTAGATTTCTTAAGTGTATGTCGGCCTCACCCCTAGCTCAGGTGACTATTGAGGATGTGATGGTGATTATTCACTTAATGAGCAACTTAGAGTAGCTTTGTTTCCAAAGTATATATTTTCACATTTGATACTGTTCAACACTTAGAAAAAGTTCTTTTGAGATAAAGTATATTAAGAAAATGGCCATTCATTTCCCTAGTTTTTTAGGGGTTCTTATTGTGACATAAATAAGTTGGCTTCAGGGTAGGGAGGCAGTCAAATGACCCCTGAGAATATGTGCAAACTGTGTGTGTGTATGTGTACATGCTTAAACAGCAGTTTTCACACCATATTCCCGTCCTTTCCTCTCTTGTCCCTTACGTTGATTCTCTTTTATCAAGCTCTGCCTCTCTAGTCAGCTTTTTTTTTTTTGAGAGATGCTGTAAATATTAGCCTAATGAAATGTGCAGTATTAATTTTTTAAAGAGGGCTTTTTTGAAGAAGTTGTTCATTAAGGGTCCTCTCTGAGCACCTCTCGTCTCAGGATAGGTGTGGTATACCAGCTGAATACCTATTTTCCTTCTGTTTCTAGGCCATTATAACTTGTGTGACAGAAAGCCTTTTCTTATTAATTCTTATTTCTAAACAGCTCACAGCCAAGTTATGGGCCACCTTTAGAAAGTACCTAGGATAAAAATGTTGGTGTATTTAGCTTTGCTTATGCCCTCATCCTATTTTTGCTCTTCTTTTCCTTAATCTAGATTTTTCAGCTGTTAAAAATAACCTTTTTGCTGATTTCTGTGACATTTTTATTTGCTCCCTTGAATTATTTTTACCTGAAGTGTAACTAAATAGCACTTTTTCTTTTGTCCTTTGGAATCACTCCTCTATTTCCTGACCAGATTCTTATACCTTCAGGTCTTTTTTTAGTTATGCATTTCATTCCATTGACTTCCAAGTATTTATCTCTAGACCTGACTTCTCATATATACTCTGGTCTTATATTTTAGGAGATGCCTTTAAGAAATTCCTTAATATTGACATGTGTGTTTTCTCACAGGTCAAGTATCTTGTTCCAGTCATTTTTACCACAGTTTCCCTTTTTCAGCCTAGAAACTTTATCATTTATTATTTTTCTTCATTTTATAGATGAATTTTATCCTTGCATTTCACACTGATTTCCTTGGAAATGTCTATGATAGTAATTCTCGTTCTTTTAGTCACCTTGTGTTTCTACACTATTTGGCCCTGCTTCTTCTGGTTCCTTCCCACCACTGGACCACCCATATATTTAGCCTTTTGAGGCTGATTTCCTGCTCCTTGCTTCAGTGAGGCCTCTTACCTGTTCAGAGATTTGCTGTGATAGTCTGTTACTCACTAGTGAATCCCTGATTGTAACCATTTCACAGTGTAGCCGAGTCATTAAATACAATTGAAAAAAAAATGACTTTGAGATTTTCTGGTTTGCCAAAAGTCCTTACTTTGAAGAGGCTACCATAAACTATCTATCAAAGGACTGGTGTGGATAAATGCTCTGAGAGAGAAAATCCAAGTGAAAAAGTTTTATGTAAAAGATTCTTTGAACTGTTTTAAAATAAGCCCCTTACAAGATGTGATTGAGATTATTTTCAGATGAGATATTCACCTCTTAGTGTGCTGCTGTGCCCTGGAGATTTAAGGTGCAATTTTCCCCTTATTGTCAGTAGCTTTATGCTTAAACAACCTTCTTCAAACTCTGATTTTTTTTTTTTTTTTTAAAGAGTAGCAAAGACTTCAGCAAGAGCCTTTTCAGATTATCTACTGCAAGATTACCAAACCCGTTATGGAACGGTCCACTCCTCACACTATTTAATGGCCTTATGGGGCAGGGTGGCCATCCTGCTGTCCCACTAAACCATCCCATTATGCCACACAAATCCGTTTTACTGCTCACTAGGGCACCATTGAGTGTGATATAGCAGTAATTTAATGCCACCCTAGTGGCCTCAGAGAGTTACTGCTGCATGGGCAGGAGAGCTCAGGTTTTTTTCCCTGGGTGGATTTATATATTGGGAGGAACTGGCTGACCTACTGTATAACTTTGTTGCACAGATTGAACCTTCGCATCATCTAGTGGCCCTTCCTGAGCAATATCTCACACCTATGTTTGCCAAGAAGTGTGTTAGGATGTGAGCAGACTTGCTACCCTGCTTGGTACAGCTGCATTTGTTGTTTTCATATTCACTCACCATTTTTTTTTTTTTTACTTCTGTCTAATTTTGTGAGTCTGGAAAATCCAAAGTTGTCTTTTATTCCTTCTTTTTTTGATAAGAATGGCATATAAGATTTCTAGTCTATTTATTCTGTTAAAGATTCATGGATCGACCCTCATTTTCTTGTTTTCACACTTTGGGGGAGAATCACATAATTATTTTATTCCCAATTTACTACAGTACAAGCTATTATAAGCCATTCTATATTGGAGTTAGTAGAGTGTTGTAAGATAGAAATTAGAAGATTTTTTTCTCTCTTTCTTGGCAAATGATCTCATTACTCTTGGTTTTAAGATGCAATGTGAATATGTTATCTGAAGCCGTCACCAAATTTGAAAGATTTGAGGATTTTTCACATCAGTCTTTGGTAGGGGTTAGCACTGTTAAGTCCATCTTTTATCTGCTTAACTTATGTGTGGTTGATTCACCACTTTCCATCAGAGTGTTGCAGTTTTTAGTCATTATAAAAATAATTAACACCTAGAGTCCTTTTCAGTGATTTGGGAATCTAGTGTGTGCTTAAAAGACAAAAGCTTATCAGAGCCTTCTATTTGTAATGTTATAATGATGTAGTAATGTTATACTGTACATTATATTACATATATTACATTATATTACATACATTGTATTACATACATATTATATGTAACACTTAGATTTCAGGTCTGTTTCTTGACCTTATTTTGATTCTCATTTCAGGCATAAACTTTTAAAACGTTGTGCAGTAGGACCCAATCGACCTCCCGCAATATCTCAACCAGGGTTCAGTGCAGGACCATCATCATCATCTTCTTTACCACCTCCTGCGTCTAAGCACAAAACAACAGAAAGACCAGAAAAGGGAGACAAATTGCAAAAGAGACCCTTGATACCATTTCACCATAGGCCCTCTGTGGCTGACGAGTTCTGTGTGGAGCAGGACACACCAGGACAGAAGCTAGGATTGGGAGGGATAGACTCCTCCTTAGAGGTGTCTAGCAGTAGGAAGTATGATAAACAAATGGCCGTGCCTTCCAGAAATACAAGCAAGCAAATGAATCTGAATCCTATGGATTCACCTCATTCCCCTATTTCCCCTCTGCCGCCAACACTCAGCCCTCAACCGCGAGGTCAGGAAACAGAGAGTTTGGATCCGCCATCTGTTCCTGTGAACCCAGCCCTCTATGGAAATGGGCTAGAACTCCAGCAGTTGTCGACTCTGGATGACAGAACTGTCCTCGTAGGCCAAAGACTGCCTCTGATGGCAGAGGTCAGCGAGACAGCCTTATATTGTGGGGTTAGGCCCTCGAACCCTGAGTCATCAGACAAGTGGTGGCACAGTTATCGCCTCCCCCGCATTGATGATGCTGAGTTCCGGCCCCCAGAGCTCCAGGGTGACAGATGTGATGCCAAAATGGAGGTAAACTCAGAGAGCACTGCGTTGCAAAGGTAAGGCGACTCTGTGTACCACCCACCTGATGCCCATTGACCAAGGTGTAAGGTCCTGAGAGTCAGGGCTTTCCTCCATCTCCCCATGTTCACCCTTCAGAGCCAAAATGAAACATGCTTTTCTTCATCATTCTGGACTCTGCGTTTGGAAAATGCTGAGAAGTCAAATGCTTTCTCCTTAGTGAGGTTTCACATGTGTCATTATTTAAACATGTGGCCATATAAAGGTTTCATTGTGGCATTTAGGTCTTGGTATTAATTTATTTTTGGCCTGCTGTTTGTTAGTCAAAGGATGTAGCTTGATGAGACTTTTCATATTGTGGTCAGTGCCTTCTTTGTATGTTGACACTTTTAAGGAAGGCTTTGCATGCAGTCAGGTATGTATCCTGCATCTGGTAATAATACTGTTTTTAGTGCTGTTGAGCTATCCGTTATTCTTGACAGTTTACCAGACCATCTCAGTTCATCTTCACCACAGTCGTATTACTACTACCTTATTTTCAAAGCTGAGAAAGAAGCGAGGGTCAAACAGTTAGAAGATGACACAGATTGAACTTGAACCTAGTCATTCTGTCCTTAGAGCCCATCTCTGCTCTTCACTGGAATCCATGGAATCAGAGACAGAAGCATGTTCTTCACAAAGACCTACTAAGTTTTATTTGTGAACATCATCTCTAAAAGAACTTCTTTATAGGGATAAATTTTCTAAGTTTAAGTTTTGCAAGTGCTTTAATTTATAAATGCTGCTTTAAAAAAAAAAAGATAATCTTTTTACTTTGTTTATCTTGCTTAAATTATCATTTATTTTCCCTTTTAGACTCTTAGCACAACCTAACAAACGGTTTAAAATCTGGCAAGAAAAGCAGCCCCAGATGCAGCCACTCCACTTCCTTGACCCATTGCCTCTAGCTCAACAACCTGGAGACAGTTTGGGAGAAGTCAATGATCCATATACCTTTGAGGATGGCGACATAAAATACATCTTTACAGCAAACAAGAAATGCAAACAAGGGACGGAGAAGGATTCCCTGAAAAAGAATAAGGTACTATTTAACATAGAGAGTACCCAGCATGGTGTGAGTTTCGATCTGTGTCAGTACAACATGTGTGGGAAAACTTCTGAGGCAGAATGTTTGAAGTAGTCTTGCCTGATTGCTCTGTCCCCATATTCATGCTCTTGGTACTATTGTATGAAACAACGTATTGTTCCTTTTTATGTCACGGCTCACCTTTGTTTAAAGTCAGCTGAACATAAACGAAGCCTCATATTTTCCAGGCTATAGCTTACAGCGCATGTTTCCTCTCATACGCTAATTCTTGTTGGCCTATGCTCCCTGCTTATTTCTTTTTAATTATTGTTCAAAATATCCAAAATGTAAGGAGAAAAAATGTTGATAACAATATCTATTGGTTATTTAGCGCTTAGTGTGTTTACTGTACCAAGCGCTTTACCTATATATCTATCTGAATTACTATCAACACTACTCCTAGATTATGTCAGTATTAATTTTAGTGGTTTCATTGTCATAAAAATGAGTACTGGGGGTGTGTGCTGTCTTTAGCCTCAAATTTTAAAACATTCCAAAATACTGCACCATTTAAAGAGGTATTCTTAAGAATAAAGGGAAAAGGACCATTAAAAGAGGCCTGTACAGCTCAGGAGAATGCTTCAGAGATTCCTTTGTAGAGATCTATCTAGATCCAGAAAGCTCGAACCATAATTCAGTATCTATGATGTTATTAAAGGCAGCTTTTAACACCGTGGCAGGTCTGTAATCAAATGCCACCAGTACTGGTTAGGCATAAAATCCAGATTGACTCTGAATACTCCATAGGATTGGAGGGACAGTGTGGGAGTTTGGGGTTCCGTTTAAATTCAGGGAAAAGGACATATCTTTTATTTCCCTTGGTTGCATAGACCATGGTTTATCATACTTGTGCTCATAATAAGTTCCATTCTACTCTCTAATTCTTTGTGTTCTCCCTCATATTCCACACTTTGGGTTGGTGTTCATGTGTTTTGTTTGGCTGAATTTATTATACAGTCAGAGGATGGATTTGGTACCAAGGATGTCACTACACCAGGTCATTCCACGCCGGTGCCTGATGGGAAAAATGCCATGTCTATTTTCAGTTCTGCTACTAAAACAGGTGTGTACAATGATTATTTGCCTCACTTGGATTGTTGCTAAAGTAAAATGCAAGGGAGATGCTTCTCGATTTAGAATTATATTTTTACTGTAATAGCAGTAATTTGATCCCATCTTTAATTTTTCATAGTTCGTTTTTCATTTACTTTCAAAACTGATGAACATATTTGGAAATAATTGTCTCTAAATTTAACTGAAAACCTAGGGAAAAAATTCACAGGCAGGTCTTGCGCATTGAAATCCATTCCCTTTTCTCACTCCTTCTCTGTGGATGAAGTCGCTTATTCTGCATCTTTGCCTCCTTTCCCGCAGATGTCCGGCAGGATAATGCTGCTGGCAGAGCTGGCTCCAGTAGCCTTACACAGGTGACAGATCTGGCACCTTCCCTGCATGACTTAGACAACATCTTTGATAATTCCGATGATGACGAACTTGGGGTGAGTCTGCCATAGCTACCGAAGCAGAAATCTCCTTACATGGGAGAACTTGGGTCGCTGTTGGAGTATTTCCTTATTGTTTTTGTCTACTGAGTTTTGGGGCCCCTTATTTCAGGTTCAGAATGTTCTGCAGAAATGTTTGTATACTTTGAAAGGATTCTAAAAGTTGTCACTGTAGTCTCTAATGCCCCTTGGTTTCCCTTTGTTGATGTCTTCTTTTATTAGTTTATTCCTGTTGTAAATATTAAAATCTTTCCCATTCAGTTTTTAAATCCTTCTAAATATCGTGAGACTAGTAGAAGTATATTATGTAGTCCCTTTAGCTCTGATTATAAAGATAATGCCCCCGTAACTTTTTATTCATGTCATCAGTAAGAACTTAGTCTACATATTGAGAGATAAACAAGTATGATCTGTACTTTTTAGGGTTGTGGCACTATAGTAGGGGAAAAGACTTGTGTACATACAATTTAAATAGTTTAAGGCATGATGTGGTTAAAGTGACAGATAAGAATGATAATTCTTAGAAGAACAGCTGAGCTGCTCTGAATCAGGAAGTTTATGTCCTCGTCCTCCTAATCACCTCTGTACTTTTTGGCAAAAAGAAGTACCTGTTAACTTTAGGGGACCAAGAAATGAGTAGGATAGGCCCCTCTCTTCAAGGAAATAAGTTTATTAGTTTATTTTTCTTTCACTTATATACTTACCTTCCTTCCCTTTTGTCCATTTCCCATGTATTTATTACTCATCTGATGGTCACTTCCTGTGATGTGTACCTGAGGTTACAGGTGTTACTATCCTGCCCTGACACTTAAGGTACTCACAGACCTCCAGAGAAGTGCATATAAAGAAAGTTACAAATGTACTTAAAAATATATAAAAATGTATACACCCATGTGCGCTTATTACTGTGAGTGCAGTAACTTGACCTGCGTCTAAAGATGCTGGATGTTCAAGTTCAAAGTGACAGGCGAGCAGTGTTTAAGTTAACGCTTAAAGGTTAAGTAGGAATCAGAATTCTAAAGCCTGTTCTCACTTTAAAATAAAAATGTATCTCATTAACAGATACTATACGCCATTATACCAATGTTAAGTACTTAGAAGATGATGAAATCATAATGGCCTCCAAGAAAAGATTTGACTTCAGATGTGGAGAGAGGGTTAGTGAGAGGCAGGGGAGAGGCATTAGTTTGAGCCTGGAATGAGCCTTGGTTAAGCAAGAGAATGAAGCAGCTGAGGGTTGGGAGGATAGGGAACAGACCATTGGTCTGCTCTCTGAGTGGTGGGTAAAGACAGGGTTAGGTTAGCCACTCTTATGGCTTTGAACTTTGAACTCTGCCTATAACGTGTCCCTCTGCGAAGGTTGCTGAGTGTGGAACTGACTTGGTAGAAGCAAGAGCTGGTTTTCACCAGCCTCATACACAGGAAGCAGGAGTACTGTTTGGTAACTTCTATTGGATTAAAACACAAGGATGGAAATTCAGGCAGTGGCTGCATGAAGGAAAAGGACATGACAGTGAGAAAAACTGCAGTACAAGAAATGACATGTTTCTTTAGCGTTGATCCAGGCATCTGAGAGCCTTTTTGAACTTGACTGTCTCCCTAAATGTCAGGCGTTATGTAGGATTGGTTTTAATGATCCTTAGGGTTTTGGTTAGCTGCTTTGGTGGGGGGTGGTAAGACAAAACATAAAAAGACACAGAATCAAAAAGAAGTAGAAAGGGAGGAATAAGAAAGAGGGCAAAGCAGGCATTGTGGGGCAGCTGGGGACTGTTCACAGCCATCATCCCCAGTGATTATACTGGCGCTCAGAGCCATTGTACTTACCTTTGTATAAATTATGTATTACTGTTGAACTAAATGAGGGTATGTTTACTTTGGTTTTTTAATATGTTCTTAGTAACGTTAATATGTGAAGGAGGGTTGGACATTTTTAATCTAATTTTCATTTCTCTGAAATGATTGTTTCTGCTTTACTCTAATTTCTAGTCTGGCATTTAATCAAGAGAATCGCTTACCTTAGAATTGTTTTTGCTAATTCATCTTACTGATAACTGGTGTTGTGAGGCCGTTGTCCAAGTTTTCATCTCAAATGTCTTTGAATTTAATTTTACACTTCAACCCTGTGACATTGAATAAGTATACATACGTAAAAGACCTTCTATTTGTGAGAATATTTTTTGCTTTATTTTATCTTGAGACATTCATTTGAGTTCTTAAAGATAATCTTGCCTATTAAAGGACTTAATTTATTTTGAGTAACAACTCAAAGAAAAGCCCTCTCTGCATATTTCAATAATTTTATGTGATAAGGTTATTTTTTTATGAAGATGAATGGTAACTGTGGAAGTAAGAGCAGAAGATACATGGCTTTTTTGTGGTGAAAAATGGAAGTATCATACTTCAGGAGGGCTTGAGGTCACCTCTTTTAACTGCCTGCTTCCAAACAGAAGGAAAGCCAGACCGATAGCCAATTACTCCTTGGAGGCACCACCCTAATTTAATTATTGTGTCCCTAAAACCACTTCTCTAATGACCTGGGAGGAAGATTTGCTTAAGGTCTGTAAGTTGTGCTTTGATGGTACAGTCTGCCCTTACCAGATCCATGCAGACAAGACTCAGTCACTCTGGTTTTCATTCTGGATAAGCTTGTCACAGTCTGTGGGTATTTCTAGAAGTTCACTTGTAAACACTGTGTAAGGAAGCACCTTTATTCCAAAATATCAGTAGGCGTATGTTAAGAAATAGTTGACTACTGCCCTACTTAGATACACGTGTGTTGCCCTGTTTCAATAATAATCTTTTCTTAGGCTGTGTCACCTGCACTGCGTTCATCAAAAATGCCTACAGTTGGGGCAGAAGACCGACCTCTTGGGAAGGATGGAAGAGCTGCTGTTCCTTATCCACCAAGTAAGAAAAGGAAATGGAGCTTTGGTTTACTATTTATAACTTAAACAAAATGTTCTCATACTCAGTGCTGCCTTATCTGAGGTTCCCCTCTGTCCCTCCCTTTTTTTTTCTTTTTTAAAAGAATGTTAACTGAATTAAAAAAAAAAAAAAAAAACTTATATAAGTTGGAATTCCTAAGATGGGGCAGACAGCTAAGAGACCATCTTAGTTTAAATTTCTTTTGCTTTTGTTTTCAAATTACGAATTAACTCTATGTGGAAAAATGTGTATATGTTTGTTTCTTTAATAGCCTTTTCCTAGTAGGATAAATGTTACGCAGTGATTTTCAGAGTGATATTCCAGTATAAGAGCTTGTGCGAGATGTTTCAAAAAATTCAATTTACCCAAAGGATGAGGAACATTTGTTTTTTCGTGGTCCTTTTTCTAATTCATACTGAAGTTTTTGTGTTTCCTTTTGAGGTAAAATAGTTAATTATCTATGATGACAAGAAGAAAAACTTGTTTTGTTTTTTTTTTTTTTTAAAGTTACTCTTCACCCTAGGAAACTACAGTATTGTGCAAGAGAAAGACAGGATAGCTTACATGGGTACTCTGAAGCAGAAACATAATTCCATTGCAAATCATTCTTTAATACCTTCTCATTAATTTCAGCTGGTAATGAGAACAAATTGAGGGGAAAAACCACTGTGTCATAGGGATGAGTCAAAAAGTTTTATGAACCTATAAATGTGTGCTGATTTACTCAAATGTAGAAGTGTGAAGTATACAGAGATTGGATTTTGACAGCTTTAGTAGATCCATAGCTTTTTAAAATATGCAACGCTTTCTCAAGCATGACATGTATGAAAATGAATAATGGTAGCCAGCCAGTTGCTGTAGATTTTTTAATTAAACATTTTTCTTTTTTTATTACTCTGCACTGCAGAATTTTACAAACATGGAATTCACAGATTAAAAGAGATAATATTAAAGCAGATATATATGAATAGGTCAGATGAATGAATTCTTTCCCTTGTATTGGACCAGTTAATCCTCTGCCCTTTTTGACATTAAGTGATACGTTGTGATGTTAAATGTTAAAATGTCTGATAACTTGTCCAAGATTATTGGGCTCACAATATTGCACTCACAAACTATCCTGCTAGTTAGTCATTGCCCAGGAAAGTATACGGTGTACTCTCTTCTTTTGCTCATTTTTATTTTGAAAATAATTGTTTCAGAAAGAAGTTAATCAAAATTTTATGACAAAGTGCAGGCTATAAAAATTAATTAATTTGAAATACAGCAAAAGTATAAGCATTAGGGAAGTACAGCTGTAGAAGTGTGAAGAGGATCTTTCAATGTGCACAGAGTATACAGGGTAAATGTGTGTATGTGTGTGTAAATGGACATGCACACAGTATTCCCCTCCCCCAGGCATGACCATGAAATAGCATGGCAAGAAGTTCTCATCTCTGCAAGAGCTTTATTGTACATTGAGGCAGAGAGACTGACATATTATAAAATTTAGTGTCTAGAATAACACCGTCCAATTTAATAGAAATATGCAATCTTAAATTTTCTAGTAGTTACATTAAAGGAAGTAAAGAAGAGCCATGTAAAATTAATTTAAATAATATATTTACTTAATATAACCAATAGTGTCATTTTTACATGTAATCAATGTAAAAAATAATGAGGTATTTTGCATTCTTTTTTTTGTTGTACTAACTTTTTGGCATCTGTTGTATAATTTTATACATGCAGCACATCTCCTTTTGGACAACCCTTGGCTTAATTGCCCTATAGCCATATGTGGCTAGTGGATACTGTGTTTGAGAGAATAGGTCCATAATTATTCATTCGTGTATGTAGTTACAGTGAAGAAAGCAACATACAGTAATAACTAGGTTTAATTTGGCATCAAGTTTGTGTTAAGGTAGTATTGTGTGAGAATAATACATACAATAATATACCTCGACTCCAGCCCATTCTGGTAGCTGTTCTCTCCCTTACTTTAGCATTTTTAAGAAGAAAATTGAACAAGCAAGCCATGGTTTTCTATTTTGGGGGACCAGAATGTTTCTCTGGGTTTCTGTCTTCTTTCTTTGACTCCAATTCCTTCTTTCATCTTAATACCTGTTTAAGGTTGTATCTTTCTCAGAAATTGTTTGTAACTTAACAGCATTTTCATCTTTGGCCCAGTCAAAAATGGGGAGGGTGGGCTAATTATTCACCACTTACTGAACGTTTAGATGTTACATGGTAAAGTGTTCTCTTCTATGTGTTATCTTATTTAATGTGCACAAAAAATATGAGGTAGATATTACTACCATTTTGCAGATGAGGAACTTGAAGCTAGCGAGGTTGAGAGTCTTCCTTAAGAATATCTGATAACGGGTGCTTGACTGGCTGAGTCCGTGGAACATGCAACTCTTGCTCTTGGGGTTATGAGTTCTAGCCCCAGGTGTAGAGATTATTTAAAAATAAACTCTTACGAAAAAACCCACAACTATCTGCTAATAAGAATAGTGAAAGCCACTTTATAAAGTGAATCTCTGGCAGGTGGAATCTTATTTTCCGTAATTTTTTGTGTGTTCTCTTTTACCTTTGATAAAAAAATAACAAGCTGAGGTGTTGAAGTTGAGATACACTTGGGCGCCTGGGTGGCTCAGTGAGTTAAGCCTTCGCCTTCAGCTCAGGTCTTGATCTCAGAGTCCTGGGATCGAGCCCCGAATCGGGCTCTCTGCTCAGCAGGGAGCCTGCTCCCCCAACCCCCACCGCCTCTCTCCCGACTAGTGATCTCTCTCTCTGTCAAATAAGTAAATAAAATCTTAAAAAAAAAAAAGAAATGTTTATAAAAAAAATTGAGATATACAGCTGTGTTAGATAGCATCGAAGAATTTGAGAATGAGAAATGCCTTTATTACAAGTGAGAAACGCCTTTATTACATTTCTTTGACAAAATTTGGTAGGTAATTTAATAAAAATAATTTTTGGTAAAATTTTACACCATAGCCAGAATACTTTAACACAAAGAGAATTTGTACAGTTTATTTTCCAAATAACTTGATGATTAAGACCTATAGTAGGAGTTTGAAGATTCTATAAGTAAGACTTAGGATTTTAAATGTTACACTTAAACATTAATTTTATATTAAAATTGATCCAGAGCCAGTCTTTGGCTTGGGAAAAGGAGTAGGGACTGAAAGATAAAGGTGATGTATATATTTCAAGTGGAACCTAACTCAGTATTAAAGTCTTCACTCTTGTTTTAAAGAACTTATTGATCTCACTGCTAATACATTTTAAGACCCATTTTTCCTCCTCAGACTCCACTGGTTCTCTGGGAGTTTCTGGCTTGGCTTATATCCCCAGTTCTAGGAATTATTCCATTCCTTAACGGTAGAATACTGTCCTAAGAAGAAGGTACCTTGAAGATCTACTTGCAGGGGAGTTGGTTTTTTTCTTCCCTCCCCCTTTTTTTCTTTTTCTCTTTCTTTTTTTCTTGGCGGCAGCAGGCACCATTTGTCTAATGAAATCTTACACAGAATCCTACTGTAGGAAATAAATGGAAGTGGAGCTTCTCTAATGAGAGGGAAAGTTGGTATCTGAGATGCTGTTTGTTGGCCTTTTCCTTCCCTTGTTGTACAGATAAGCACTGGAGGCCAAGAGAAGGTAAATTATTCAGGATTATATAATTGTTTAACTAGGAAATGTGTTTTAAAGATCATCTCATGCAGATGTTCTCACCTTTTTTTTTCTGCCTCCATATGGCAGAAGCTTCCCCATCCTCCCATAAACAAAGGAAAGAAAGTAAGCCTGGTGAGAATCACACATCTAGTCCAGCCATTTAGATGAAGGGTCCGAGGCCCCCAGGGAGGAAATGACCTAACTGGGCTGTAGCAGCGCTGAGTTGTGGAACTGCTCTGGGAGCTGCTGCTGTACAGGACAGGGCTCTGCCTCAGACGCCAGCCCAGGGCGGAGTGTAGTGCGGTTATTCTTTCTTCATTTGTGATTCAGAGCTACAGGTCGTATCTTAGCCTAGTCAGTGGTAACCGTTTGCCTCTTTAAATGCTGAAGTTTCTAGAAGGAACAATATGATTGGAAAATGGGACATCAGATACCATTGCAGAACACGGACTTAAACTCGAGGCTCTAAATTTGTAAATAAATGTGCTGTACAGGACACCCCCTAGTGGCCAAATTTCGCAAGCACAACTTGATTGCATTACATCTGCTCCTACTTTTCAGAATCCCTGCCTTAATGAGCCCCTGCTAATGATGATGGCTAACCTCAGGTGTATTAAGATGTTTTTTAAAAAAGGATTGAGGATCCCTGTTTTAACTGTTTCTTAAATGATACTTTTTTTACTAGCTGGATTTTTAATAAATTGTCTTCTGGTTCTAGGTAGGATTATTAAACCTAACTGTGAAGTTTCATTTTAATATCAATATGGATAGCATTTAATGTCAATATGGAATCATTTCCCTGAAGAGAAGTGAGTGTGGTAGATTTTTCAAACTAGCTAAGTAATCCTACTACATGTAAACCACCGTTCTAGCTCTAATCAATTTTTATTTTCTGTAGTAGAACTGCCTGGTGAATTTTCCATGTAAAATTTGCTATAGCATGTTTTTATATAATTCTGAAATATTTCATACATATTTGTAAGCAGAGATAGAACTTTATTAATAAAGTTATTCCATCTAATTTCTCCCAGCTTCTACTTATTTTCATCTTCTTATACTCTTCAGGCAATCATTTGTTAGAAGAAAAATGTATTACGTAGACTTCGTTCACTTAATTAATGTGAAGCCAAATCATAAAGCATCAAGGGGATAGTGGTAAAGTTCCAGAAAAGGATAATTTTCTGCTGATGGCCTTCTTAGAGACTTCCATTGTTAATATTCTGTTGTGTAACTGATATAACCATTCAGTTAGCATTATTTCTAATGACAGGTAGGGTGCCTGCCTACGAACTGGGATTTTTTAGAAATCCTACCTGTTAAAATAAATATTGTTGTCTGTTCTTCTCTTCTTTTCTCTCCTCTTCTCTTCTCTTTTAGCAGTTGCAGACTTGCAAAGGATGTTCCCCACTCCTCCTTCCTTGGAACAGCACCCTGCATTTTCTCCTGTAATGAATTATAAAGATGGAATCAGTTCAGAGACAGTGACAGCATTAGGCATGATGGAGAGCCCTATGGTCAGTATGGTTTCAACACAGCTCACTGAATTCAAAATGGAAGTAGAAGATGGATTAGGAAGTCCTAAACCAGAGGAAGTAAAGGTAATTTCAGTATATGAATTTTATCGAGCCAGGGTGGTTTTCAAGCGGATTCATGTACATTTTCCTCAAAATACTATTTATATGCCACATATACCTAAGTTTCTAACAATCCTCTGAATTGGATCATGAGGTACCTTGCTTGGTATTTTAATTATAGTGTCTTGATTAATTTAAAATGTTGGTATTAGCATTTTCTGCTGATTAGATGAGAAAAATATGGACTTGCAGTCATTTCTGTTATTGTTGTGGTATGTCCTAAGTTGTTCACTGGCATTATCACTGCCCCCCCTTTGTTGTCCCAGGACTTCTCATATGTGCACAAAGCTCCCACCTTCCAGCCTTTCGTGGGGTCTTCCACGTTTGCTCCGCTGAAGATGTTGCCGAGCCAGTGCCTGCTACCTCTGAAGATACCTGATGCCTGTTTGTTTCGGCCTTCATGGGCAATCCCTCCTAAAATCGAACAACTGCCCATGCCACCTGCAGCCATTTTCAATCGAGATGGCTACAAGTATGTGCAGGGACTGCATTATGTTACTCGCCCTATGAAATGTGGTTTTGATCTTAACTAAATATTTACTTAAAATGATGACATCAGCATATCATTTGAAACTTCCCCTTTTTGGTCATTCATGTTTTTGTGCACATTATTTTGTGTTGAAAGTGTGCATATTTTCTAACTAAATGTTATGTACATGGATAAATTAAGGTTATTTGGGTAGAGAGCCATGGTGTGCATGCTCATTCAGTATCAGATCCATGTCGACCACAGAGTCAAACACTAGATTGGAGTTGGTAATATTATTTGGATAATGGTGGTAAGTATTTGATTTATACAGATTGGTGATTCCAAATGTGCTTACTTCAAGCACTTTAAAATGAAGTGTTAGCATGGACACTTTTCTCTGACGCTGACCCCATGTCATATAAGAAAGCAGCAACAGGGCTGGTATGACACGGAGAAAGGAGAAGGGGGTATATATTGTCGCTTGAGCACATTTCACTCGGTCAAAAAACAGTAGTCTGTCAACAGTGTAGATTCCGTTTCCCCTAGGATTAGTAATTTCTTGAAAAAATAAATGCTTTAAAATACAAGGCCATAAACTCAAATTTCTATCAGGACCAGGTAAACAATGTGTGGATGACCTGCGTTGGGTGAAGCAAAAGTCTAGGCATTACTGATGGTCACTGTCATCCTGAGGGGCAGTAGGAGAGAGCAGCGTCTTTGATGGAACTGTTAGAATATGCCTCATTTATTTATTTATTATTTCTTTAAAATTTTATTTATTCATGAGAGATGGGGAGTGGGGACACAGAGGGAGAAGCCGATTCCCTGTGGAGCAGGGAGCCTGATGCAGGACTCTCATCTGAGGACCCTAGGATCTTGACCTGAGCTGAAGGCGGACGCTTAACCAGCTGAGCCACCCAGGCATCCAAGAGTATGCCTCATTTAAAGGGACCGTGTGCTATCCAGTTACAGTGCATTGTCCAGGCAGGAATGTGGGAGACTGGTGATCTGCATTTTTATGGAAATCTCCTTTTAAAAAATGTTGGTAGTTAATGCAGAGTTACATTTTAGGAGCCAATAAGATAAGACAAACTCCAGATCCAGCCCTGTGGGCTGTATTTGTGACATCACAGAAAACCATCTTGATGAAACCAACTTTAATGTCTTAACAGGCTTTATGTGTATGTATGTAAAGTCAGCGTCAGAATGTGAAAAACGGTGACAGAATGTAGGATAAAAGAACCCAGACTTAGGAAGGTAGAACTGTGCTGTCAGAGGACTCCATTCCTGCCTTTTTTGTTTACTCCTCTCTATGACCTTAAATGACCAGCTTACCTGAGTCTTCCCTTCTTTAAAATTGGGATAATCCTGCCTGACTTCCCCCACACGATTTTTGAAAGGTTCCAGCGGCTCTGGAGGTATTGTGGCAATAACATCTCATCATCAGGGGGCAAGAGCGTGCTCAGAAGTACCCTGGTGGTGGTCGCTGGGCTTGTTTTCAGCTGCCGTGCTCCAGTCGTGCTGGAGCTTCTGTAAGTGGGGACTGATCTAGTCCAGCGGGGCTCACGGACCCAGAAGGGTTGCCACCCCATTCTCATCCAGGGCAGCAGCACCAGGAACCCATCTGACGGTTGAATTTCTTAATACACACAGACTCCTCAAAAGAGTGACATGCAGCCCTTTGCTGTATGATAGTTTAAATAATCAATAATTCAGATCATTGTTTAGGTATATTAAATCTATCCTTTGCCATCCCAGAGATCCTTGGTATTCTCAGTTGGCACTGTTAAGAGCTATTGTTGATGAAGGAAGTGTTTTATTTTATTTTATTTTTTTAACATTTTATTTATTTGAGAGAGAGAGAGACAGTGAGAGAGAGCATGAGCGAGGAGAAGGTCAGAGGGAGAAGCAGACTCCCCGTGGAGCCGGGAGCCCGATGCGGGACTCGATCCCGGGACTCCAGGATCATGACCTGAGCCGAAGGCAGTCGCTCAACCAACTGAGCCACCCAGGCGCCCAAGGAAGTGTTTTATATCAGCACCTTCCAATACGGCATCCCCTGCCCTGAGCTTGTAGCTGTGCACCTCTTGAAATGAATTTGTAGTTTTATTTAAGTTCATTTAAATTTAGCACATAGGGCTAGTGATAGCCCTATTGGACAACACAGTTCTAGACTACGTCAGTTCCTTCTGCTGGGGTCTCCGTCACCCTGGCCACCCCTCGCCACACTCAGAACATGCGCGCGCACTTGCTTGCCACCTGTCATCCTTGCTGTGAGCTGCCTTCTCATCCCCTTTTCCACTGTTGAGTGCCCAGCATTCAGTATAGTGTGGGTACTCAGTTCATTTTTATTGAATGGGAAAAATCAGGTTTTTTTCCATATACAAGCTAAACCATTCTTACTACCTAGGGAGCAATTTAATTATTTAGGTTTTCAGTTAGTAGTCATAGTTCTTCTGATCTGAACTGTATAATAATTTTAGGGTTTTGTCAAACAGAAGAATTTGAAAGGAGTCCAGTTAGAGTAAAGATCATTATTACACACTTATTATTTTGGTCTCTGAGATAGCAGTGATTGCTAATCAAGGTTTCTAGGTCATTTTTTATCTGCACTCAAAGATACCACTGTGCTTCAGAGTTAGTTTCTTTGTAATGCTGGATGTGGACTTTTTAAGCTGGTGGTTTAGGCATAGCTCATTAAAGATCACAAGAAAATCATTCGAAGAGTCGTCACTTTATGACATTCTTCTTTCACATTGTAAGTGAATGAATGTGTCATTTATTGGAAGAACATTAGTTTAAGTACAGTATTAATAGATTTCAAAAAATATTAGGCAGTAGATGAAATCTCTTCTTTTGATACCTTCTAATTGGGAGAGAATGGTCTCATTTGCTTTTTTTACATGTACTTCTAAGAATGTATATAAAAAATTCTTTTACAATACTAAAACAGCAGAACATTGTAGAAACCGTTTTTGTTTTCTGTGTGACTATTCTAAAAAGAAGTCATTGCTTATGAAAAAATAGATAACACAGTGTGTGATCAGTCTCTGGGAACTAAGAATAATTGTGCTGTAGGTAATACATAGCATATTGAAGATTAAAAATGAACTAAAGTTGCCCACACCCCACAGAAATCTGTTAGAAGTTTGGAAGCTATGATACAGTATGTGTACTGCACAATTCATCTAATTAATACTAAGGCCTCCTAGCTACATATGTGATACCGGTATTAATTGTAGTGTAGTACTGGCCAGTGGGTTTCCTACAGTTGGATTCCTTTATGGTCATTCAGTACTATAAAAATGCAAGCCTAGATAGGACTGTGCTTTGAAAATTAGAAAAATGGCAAATGTTCCTATTTGTTTGATTATAACTGCTTTAGAATCATGTATGGATTATGATCTCAGAGGATAAGTACATCAGCAGACTTTAAATTTTACAAAGTGACAAAAATGTAATTGCAAATTAGATGGAAATTTTATCCTGTGGTTTTCTAGTCAATTTAGCATCTGAACTCATGTGTTAAAGTCCCACTTAATAGTACAGTTTTTCAAAACTACATTGACCAAACCCAGCACCATGTTTTCTTGTAAAAACAGTAAAGTTCCCTTGAAAGATTAAGATGGAGATTGCTTTGATGTGGAATAAGTAGAAGGAAAATGATGTGTTATTCTTGGTGTATGGTATATTATTCTTCATACCTTGCTTCTTGCTTTCCCATCACTTTTATTGACTCCTTTGAATCCTTTTTTTTTTCTTTTTTAAGAAAAAATTGAATATACCTAGTGAAAGCATGCATAAATGATAAGAAATGCACAGGCCAGGGGTACCTGGGTGGCTCAGTGGGTTAAACCTCTGCCTTTGGCTCAGGTCATGATCTCAGGGTCTTGGGATCTAGCCCCTCATCAGGCTCTCTGCTTAGCGGGGATCCTGCTTATGATCTCTGGCAGTCAAATAAATAAATAAATAAAATCTTTAAAAAAAAAATGCACGGGCCAAGTGGGGTAATTATGTCTGTGACATGCACCTATTCTCACTTGGTACTGTCTGTTGCAGTAACGTGCCTAGTGTCGGGAGCCTAGCAGATCCGGACTATCTGAATACACCACAGATGAACACACCAGTGACGTTGAACAGCGCTGCCCCAGCCAGCAACAGTGGAGCAGGAGTTTTGCCATCTCCAGCAACCCCTCGCTTCTCTGTCCCCACACCACGAACCCCCAGGACCCCAAGAACTCCCAGAGGTGGGGGCACTGCCAGTGGGCAAGGGTCGGTTAAATATGATAGCACCGATCAGGGGTCACCAGCCTCTACCCCCTCTACCACGCGGCCCCTTAACTCTGTGGAGCCTGCCACCATGCAGCCAATTCCTGAAGCCCACAGTCTCTACGTCACCTTGATTCTCTCCGATTCTGTGATGAATATCTTTAAAGACAGGAACTTTGACAGCTGTTGCATCTGTGCCTGCAACATGAACATCAAAGGGGCGGACGTTGGGCTTTACATCCCCGATTCTTCCAACGAGGACCAGTATCGCTGTACCTGTGGGTTCAGTGCGATTATGAATCGCAGGCTTGGCTACAATTCAGGACTCTTCCTGGAAGATGAGTTGGATATTTTTGGGAAGAATTCTGATATTGGTCAGGCTGCGGAGAGGCGTTTAATGATGTGTCAGACTACCTTCCTTCCTCAGATGGAGGGAGCCCGAAAGTCCCAGGAGCCACCTATAAGCCTTCTCCTCCTCCTCCAGAATCAACACACACAACCTTTTGCGTCACTGAGTTTCCTGGACTACATTTCCTCTAACAGTCGCCAGACTCTTCCCTGTGTAAGCTGGAGTTACGACCGGGTGCAGGCAGATAATAATGATTACTGGACGGAATGCTTTAATGCCTTGGAGCAGGGCCGACAGTATGTGGATAATCCCACGGGTGGAAAAGTGGATGAAGCTCTGGTGAGAAGTGCCACTGTGCACTCTTGGCCTCATAGCAACGGTAGGTTTCCCAGAATACGCGTTGACTTTGAAAATGATCTTGGTATGATGGTAAATTATAAAGGACAGAATTTTCAATTTCATTTCTCTTAAAAAAAAAAACAAAATACAAAACTAAAGTTAAGAGCTCTGTGGACAACCTTCCTGAATTTAAGGAATAGAGCAGTGTTTTATACTGAAACACCTTTTGAGGAGACTCATTATTTTGTGAAAACTTCCTCTCATATTGATTCCTGTGGGCAGTTCCCATGGCAAACTGACTGCTACATACCAGCATCGTTGCGAGTACACAGACGAATAGTCAGCACACCTTGTGTGTTCTAACTCGGTTGTCTGTAATACTTCTCCCGTGGAGCCTTCTTCCCATTTACAGAGCATTTTCTCCTTCCTTTGCTTTTCCAGTGTTTTGCATTTCTTGTAACAATGATTGCAGTTGGCTTTGTGTTGTGGTTCCTGAGGCATGTCACTGCCATTATTAAAAGCTCCAGCTGACAAATGTCTGTGATGTTGAGCTCTAAGTGAGCCCTGCAACTTGCTGTTCCCTTCCCTTATTCATTCACTGTCTATGCTGTGATGCATCCCCGGGGGTAAAGTAACTGAAAGAGACAGGACACCTCTCTGAGGCACTTTCTAATCTATTCTGGAAGATGGACATCAGATTAATCAAATAATTACACAGATTAGCATAGTATTAGAAACCATTATAAGTGATGGAGGTGTGGGGTGGGAGGGCCTTCCTAGGCTAGGGGTCAGCCTAGAAGAGCAGTAGGTCAGCCGCCTTCTACTCCTTGAGTAAGTAGAAACATTAGATTTCAGTGCCAAGTACAGAATAACTGGCTAAAGAAAGTGGAGAGCAAGGAATTGTGTCCCAGGCAGAAAGAGCAGCAAGAGGGAAGGCCCACAGTTACATAGAGCTTGGGACTTTCAAAGAGCTGAAGGACTCTCTGTCTCAAATAAATAAATCTTTTATTTTATTTTATTTTTAATGTGGGATGGTGCCTGGGTGGTTCAGTTGATTAAGAATCTGACTCTTGATTTTGGCTCAGGATACAATTTCACGGTCATGAGATTGAGCCCTAAGTTAGGCTCTGTGCCCAGTGGGGAATTTTCTTGAGGTTCTCTCCTATTCCCCACTCTCCCTCCCCAGTCCCTCACCCCCCTTAAATAAATACATCTTGAAAGAACTGAAGGGAGCTTGGAGCTGGCTAGATTCCCGAGAGCCGTTTGAGACCTGTTGGGGCTGAGGTCTTTATCCCAAGAGCCCTAACATGATGGGTTCATGAAGAGGCATTGCCCTCTGATTTGTGTAGTTAAGAAACAGACAAGCTCTGACTGCAGTGCAGGCTGTGGATTTGGAAGTGGCAGGAATGGTGGGAAGACGAGAGGGTTAGTGCAGCGGCTCAAATAAGAAAGAATAACTTGGTTTCTTGTCTTAGCAAAGGAGATGGAAAAGAAGCGGAAACATTCGAGGGATGTTGAGGAAGTGGTTGGACTGCAGGACTTGGTAGTGGGTTGGATTTTAGGGGTCTGAGAGAGCGAGATGGTAAGGAAGACACCTGGGCTTGTGACTTGTATACCTGGACAGATGGTGATGTCATTCAAAGATCAGTGCCCTGGAAGAAGACCAGGTCCGGGGAGTAAGCTCCTAAGTTGAGTTTGGGAAATTTTAAAGATCTGTTCTGAGATACCCAGGTAGAGGTGTCAAGTAGATTCTTGGGACTTCCCAGGCCTACAGCTCAGGGGAAAGTGAGTAGTTGACTTGTAGATACTCAAGTCCAGGGCACAGAGGAGGAAGAATGCTCACCGATGAGGAGGAAACCCAGACCGACAAGAGGGCTTGGGACAGAGCTTCGCTGAACTCTGCAATGTAACCAGGTTTCAAGAAAGAGACGAGTGAGTGGTCAAGAAGCATTAAAGTCCAGCTGAGCTTTTAAGAAGAGGATTAAACATATCTTTTGACCATGGTGAGGAGCTGCTTCTGTAGAGAGGTGGGAACAGGCTGGGCTGGAGTGGTTGCTTACGTGAATGAAACGTGGACCTTGTTCTAAACAACTCTCAGCCTGTAGGGGAAAGGTTATATAAGCTTCTTAAATACAGTTGGAAATCTGGAAGGAGAAAGTATGTTCAGAGGACAGAGATCAGTGGAGTAGGGGATGAGTAGGCATTTTCTGAGTAGCCAAGTCAGGAGACTTCTCGGAGGTGGAGACTTGTAAGGAAGTATTCAAGGGTTATGCTCATTTCTGTAACCACTTGGGTTTGAGCACAGTCCGTTGTACTTAGCAGGCCTCTAATTAATCTATGCTGGATGCATTTATGAATTAAATGAATTAAAGAAAGTACAGTCTTTTCCCTAAAGAAATGTGGGTGATTATCTCGGGTGGTTCCTTTTGCCAGATAGTAGCCTTCAGACAGAAAAGCGGTGTGTGGGTGGATCAGTCCTGTCATCTTTGGATATGAAGAAGAGCAGAGTTTCATTGCAGAGTAGGTGTGGGTTCCAAAGTCACAAGCTTAACAGTACCAGACAGATAATGTAGATGAATGATGCTGGAGCCAGATTTGCCAACGGCTGTGCCCTCGCTGTGTCTGTCAGTACACACGAGTAGCCACAAAGAATGATGTCTGCTCTTATTTTTCTCTAACCGGTGGTTCTCTCTGTGTGTCATTCTTCAACTTCTGATAGAGCCATGGGTCCAAGAAGTACTTTTTTCTTTAAGAAAAAAGCAGCCCAGGCTTGAAGATAAAGTTGATCACTGCTTCCTTCTCAGGCAGGCAGCAGAGCTGAGTGAGGAGAGCCATCTGAAGGGGGCGCTGAGCCTTCGCTCCGGCTTGCTGCTTGTGCAGGAATGTGGCCTGCGGCTTGCCATGTCTCCCAGTTTTTCCCAAGAGGCTGCACATTTAGATTAGCAATTTGTTTGGTTTAGGGATACACCTAGAGATGTCTTAAGCATCCTGTGTTTCAGGTTTAGTTGGTAGATAAATCTTAGATTTCCATCTGTGCCCCTTTCCCAGTGAGCTAGAAAAGAAAGAGTAAGTAAGGAAGGGCCTTTAGGTATGCAGCTGATCACCTCACACGTCATTAGCTCTTTCTTCAGATCTTTTTGAGAATTTGATGAGCGTTTATGGACCTTTATCCCTGGGAAATAATATGCATATGTTCATGCGTGCACAGTTTTGCATAGAGTCTGAGAGGTTTTTCAGGTTCTATGTTGAGGGCCCCTCCTCAGTAGGAAGAATATTTCTTCTGAAACCATGAATACCACCTTCCTCTGTGGACAGATGACTTTCAGTCCTGTCGTTGCTTTTGCCATGTTTTCTTATGCCTCTGCCTGCATGGAAAGTTGTCTTTCTCTCTGTGCCCTTTGTATTTTGTGAAAACATTTTACATTAAGAGCATTTTTAACAGTGTTTAAGAGCTTTTATTTAAGTCCCCCCCAACATACACTGATCATACTTTCAAAACATTGCTATTTATAAATAAAAGTAATATAATGATTAAGAAACTTTTATAGCTCTCTTTCCCTATGAACAACCTTGGAAACAGGTCTGTGTGATTTTAAATTCAGGCCAACCCATCTTTTTACTTCTGAACAATTGTATAGTTAACCTCTTATATACAGAGTGATCTATTTCTCCTTTTATTATTTCCCATAGTAAATTATAAATTACTTTGTAATAATAAAATAATATCTTTTGACTGGTAAGTCAAGCATTTTAGAATATACTGAAAATAGAATCTACCGCCAGTAATGTCTCTTGTCATGGACTATAACTGAGGTCTAGCAGGATGGCAGGAAAGAGGAGAATGCCAGTCCCCCTGTATAATTTCTGTTCCTTTTCATTTCCTTTCTCTTGCAGTGCTAGACATCAGCATGCTCTCCTCCCAGGATGTGGTCCGCATGCTGTTGTCGCTGCAGCCCTTTCTCCAAGATGCCATCCAAAAGAAGCGCACGGGCAGGACCTGGGAGAACATCCAGCATGTGCAGGGACCGCTAACCTGGCAGCAGTTCCACAAAATGGCAGGACGGGGAACCTATGGTAGAATCTCTTCCCTGTTTCAATTCTTCCATAATTCTTCCATAATTCTTCCAGTTTTAATTACTGTCCAGTCCTAGCTTCACTGACAAAATGGAATCCTCTTCATGACTATTAAGTTTTATAATTTTATAAATTAATCTTTAATCTTTATCTTAATCTTTAATCTTTATAATCTTTTCTTCCCTAAAGTCAGTTTGGAGTTAACTTTTCTCTAAGCATCCTTGGTAGAATCCAGGTCAATGAGGAAAATAATATTTGGAGTATTCATCAGATTCTCCTCATCTTCCTGATCCTCGTTGTATTTTCATCTGGATGAACTTCTGAACTAGTTCTTCCTAGTCAGGATTTTAAGGCTTAATTTAAAGGAAATGGTATAATGCTGCTTGGAAAACTAACTTTACCTTTTCTAATCTGCCCTTATTGGACCTATCTAAGTGCGTTCTGACTCATTGATATAAGGTCTTCATCAGGGGCCATGTAATTAGGGGATTTGAGAGTACTTTTGAGAGTGATCCTGTCAACCTACAAGAAATTTCTGATGCCAGAATTAAGACTAATGCAGCAAGAACTTCTGAGTTGTCCAGGTTATAGGAAATGGACTTTTAAGCACCATCCTAACTGCCTTTTTGTTACAGGTTCAGAAGAGTCTCCTGAGCCATTGCCCATTCCCACTCTGCTGGTAGGCTGTGACAAAGACTTCCTCACCATCTCACCATTCTCTTTGCCATTTTGGGAGAGGCTATTGTTGGACCCATATGGGGGCCACCGTGATGTTGCCTATATTGTGGTGTGTCCAGAAAATGAGGCCTTGCTCGAAGGAGCCAAAACTTTCTTCAGGGACTTGAGCGCTGTATATGAGGTGAGAATGATATGAAGACTGTTTTTGGGACATGAGTCCTCAGATTGTTTCCAGCTATGACTAAATTTTAAAGAACAAGTATCTTCAAGGTAGATCTCAAAGGAAATTTGTGAGTGGTTGGAGGATAAAGGAGAGAATTAAATTGGCAAGTTTTCCTGGGAGTAAATTGCTTTCCCTTGGCTTTACATTTTGTTAGATTTAGAAAACTGCTCTGCCAGCCTTCCCACACGTCTTACAATTCCGTCAGCTGTTCTTTCCTCATGTATGTGCTCGAGTTGAAAAGTGTTGCTTACCAGCGGGTGTTCTGGCTGTTCAGAAGATGACCTTTACAGAAAGAAAGCACATCCCTTCTTGGTGCTGGCGGGGGTGGGGGGTCTCGAAAACAGTATAAAAATGTTTAGCTTGAAGATTTTTGAATCAAAAGATAAGTTTATCTTTTGATAATCAAAAGGTAAGTTTATCTTTTGATAATCATGTCCCTGTTGTGTATTTAGCACTGCATTCTTCTTAATACTAGAACTTTGATACAGATTAATAATGTAATAACCGTAACAATATAAAAGCTTACTACATAAATTACTGTTACTTTTGAAAAATTGGAATCATGAGAATCTTTAAGGTTAAGTGCCACATTTTTTCTGCCAAAGTGTATGTACACTAAATTCTTTGTATCTTATACTTCTAATATCTTTATTTTTGGCAAGATTAAATAAAATTAGTATTTATGAAGAACTGTTACAGGCATATTATAAACATCACAAGAGTGTTTGTTAAAGAAGTTGCCAAGTTGAATTTCTAAAATATTTCATAACAGAACATTCACTATCTAGAAGTGGATGGGCACACGTGAAATAGTAAACTTACGTGTTGCTACAAAGAAGTGAGGAGATGCTAACATACGAGGTAATGACATCAGTTAAGCCCCTAAAGGAACCGTTAGGTACAGTAATTTCTATACAGTGCCTCGCTCATGGATGTGTAATACTATTAAATCATAAGGACCATAACAGAGAAAACTTGTCTAAGCAATTTTTTTTTTTCTTTTTTAGATTTTATTCATTTATTTGTCAGAGAGAGAGGGAGAGAGAGCAAGCACAGGCCGACAGAATGGCAGGCAGAGGCAGAGGGAGAAGCAGGCTCCCTGCCGAGCAAGGAGCCCGATGTGGGACTCGATCCCAGGATGCTGGGATCATGACCTGAGCCAAAGGCAGCTGCTTAACCAACTGAGCCACCCAGGCGTCCCTGTCTAAGCAATTTTTTTTAAAGCCCAATTCTCTTCTCTTGGATGAATCTTTTAACATGACTTATGAAACATAAAAGCATTGCTGGATCTTTTTAGAGACTAATGACTTTATTAGGATTGCTCATTTGGCGGGAGTGCACACCTTGTTAAGAAGAGTGTGCGCTAGAGAACTTTGTAGGGGCTTGGTAAGCCTTCAGTTATCACCTCTAATAAGGGATAATGTGGGCTCTCCTGTTGGTGAGTAGATAGTTAAGTAGCTTATTTTTTGCAGGTGTATTATATTAATTCTTTGCTGTAAGTACCCATTTAGTGTCCTGGAGATTAATAACAGAATATCATTGTGCTTAAAACAACTATTTACTTTGAAAAAGTGATCAGCATATCCACTGCTTCAGTGGCCTCTGCTATTGGTGATCTCCAAATGTCTGTAACAGATGGCCCATAAAATTTTAATGTTATCTTATGGGAAAACATTATGAGTAGGGATTACTTAAGAGGTTTTAGTGGACATATGTCTCAGTCAGCCAAAGTAGGCAGGAATCTGGTTAATTCTTTATTTGACCATTAGCAATCAGGTAGTGCTCAGCAAACTTCCCTTGTGTGGGAGGAATTGGCTGGGGTGAAGAAACATTTATTTTTCTTTAGAGGGTCTAGGCCAGGTTTTGGAGAGACAGATAGCAGTCTCAGCATACATTATAATTACCAGAAAGGACCAGTGTCTAATGTTGGTTTGGTTGTTCGTGTCAATGCTAAAAGAAAAGCAAAATACTTCGATGTGTATGATAAAGAATTCTCCCCACTAACGACAGGAGTGGTTCCTGTTGTAAGTAATGGTCTTGCTTGTGGTATCAGATGTGTAGGCTTGGGCAGCACAAGCCCATCTGCAAAGTGCTAAGAGATGGGATCATGCGCGTGGGAAAGACCGTGGCACAGAAGCTGACTGACGAGCTTGTGAGCGAGTGGTTCAACCAGCCGTGGAGCAGTGAGGAGAATGACAATCATTCCAGACTCAAACTTTATGCGCAAGTTTGCCGCCATCACCTAGGTAAATGGGAATTTATTTGGCCAAGTAGAATCTGAGAAGTAAAATAGCAAATTGTCCCCCTTTGGGAAGCAGCATTATGCTACTTTTGTCTCAGGTAATGTTAGTGTTCCATTACTGTATTTATTTAGGTCTAATTTCTGCGTTCTAGGTCATTAAATGCTAATTTTTATGTGCACACACATTCTTTAAAAGCAATTTAAAGTTGCCTAAAGAAGTCATATCTAATTTACTCCACATTTTGAAAACTTAGCAGCAGGACTTGGTATTAACTGCTTAAATTTAACCGATGTTCCCAGGAGGATCTTGGAAGCTTTTAAAGTTCAGTACACAGAGGAGCATGGGGTACCGTGGTGGCTAGAGAGTACGTGGCCTCTCAGTTGTCAGTGAAGGCCCAGAGGGTCAGTCTGAAAGGAAAGTGTTAGAGGGATTAATTTTCTCTCTCTCTCTCTCACTTTTTTTTTTTCTAATAAGCCTCTTCACCAGAATTTATAATAAGTAGCTTCATGTTCATTTCCATGTTTGCAGAATATATAAGCATATATTCAGGTGTGGAGATAGCATTTTGGGTGTCATAATCAGAGTACTGTGGCCTGAAAGCATCATTTTTTAAAAAACGGGCCATTCTGAATTTCTGATCCAGTCCAACACTGCAGAACATCACTGATGTCACCTCTCTGCATGTCCTCTTTCAGCACCTTATCTAGCCACTCTGCAGCTCGACAGCAGCCTGTTGATACCACCTAAGTACCAGTCCCCACCAGCAGCAGCACAGGGACAAGCTACACCTGGGAACACAGGGCCACTAGCTTCAAATTCAGGATCAGCAGCGCCCTCGGCTGGCAGTGCATTCAATCCCACCTCTAACAGCACTTCTGGGAACCCTGCGGCAAGTAGCTCCGCATCTGGTTCCTCTGTGCCACCCGTCTCGTCCTCTGCCCCTGCTGCCGTTGTTAACCAGGCCAGCACTACCTCTTCTTCAGGGTTCAGTGCTAGTGTTGGAGGGCAGAACCCCAGCACTGGGGCCAGTTCCGCAGACAGAACGCAAGGGAACATGGGCTGTGGTGGAGACACTGAGCCTGGGCAGAGCTCCTCTCAGTCCTCGCAGGATGGACAAGAAAGGTACGTTGTTCACGGATAGACATGAGTGCCTTTGGCTTGAACCCCTTTACTTATACTCTTCTGCACCCAGCTGTCCGCCTCAACCTCATGAATCTCTCAGTCTAGTGAAGTGCTCTATTTCTCTTCTTCCCAAAAGGAAGTGACAACTGTCAGTCTCTTGTTTCAGTGTTAAGAAATCTGAGACTTCTTATAAACTTATTAGTACTGTACTTATTAGCTTCTTAGTAAGTTTTAGTGATGATTCTACTATTATTATGTGAATAGAATAAATGGATAATAGTAATAGTGCTATTAACACTAACATTAATAGTTTTATAAAATACCTTTTTAGAATATAGCCCCAGGAGAAAGAGGGAGTGGAAAAAGAGATCTCCCATTTAAAGGAGTGTATTGTCATTTCCCACCTGTCTTCCTACTAACTGGCTTGGTTTGCCTTCATTTTAGTAATACACATATTGATGTTACATTTAATCTGTAATCATTGTCCGGGGGATTGGTGTGCTCTGGAACTGGAATTTTGTGTGACTTATGTTTATATCGTGCATCTCATAAGTGGCTCTCTCTGCAGTGTCACAGAACGAGAGAGAATAGGAATTCCCACTGAGCCTGACTCTGCAGACAGCCAGGCCTATCCTCCAGCTGTTGTCATTTACATGGTGGACCCCTTCACTTACACTGCAGATGAAGACTCTACTTCCGGAAACTTTTGGCTGTTGAGTTTGATGCGCTGCTACACAGAGATGCTGGATAATTTACCTGAGCATATGAGAAATTCTTTCATTCTCCAGGTGACTATTTGCAACTTTATTTTTCGCTTTCATTGTTGTTTTTGCAAAATACAAGTTCATGATTTTTTTTAAACTGGAAGTACATGAAAGCTATAAAGGAAAAGATACTCATAATTCTATCTTTAGATTAAGTCACCATTGCATAACATTTTGGTGTATTTCTCGCCTTTTTTGTGTGTTTGTTTATAGAGTTGGACTCATACTTCTAGTATAATTTTTAGTCTTTAATACTTAACATTATTCATGAATACTTTGCCATGTTTAAAATTCTTACAAGCAGCATTTGTAATGAGTGCATATTCTCCATATGTAATTATTATTGTACACTTAGATATTTCTGAATTTTGCTATTATACATAAAGCTGTAATAAACATCTTTATAATCTCTTTTTCACACTTCAGGTAATTTCTTAAAGCGTATTCTTAGATATAGTACTGACAAATAATGCCGGATTCCTTTCCAGAAAAGTTACTCTTATTTACATTCCCTTCACAGAGCAGTCAGTCAGCGTGCCTCTTCTACTACCGCCTGGCCGGCTTTTATAGTACAATAATTTTACAAGATTTTGGTAATAGTGATAAATGATACCTTGGGTGTTTGGGTTTGTTTTACTGTCACTTTCACTAGAGCCATCTTACAGAATTAAAATATTGAATTAAAGAGTTACCAGAATAGGTTATTGATTGTTTTTCGTTGTGAAGTTTGTGTCTCACATCCTCAGATAATAATTCCTCATTTACCGCACGCTCTGTGTGTACATGTGATTAAAAAGAGAACTACATTTAAAAGCAAGTTTTAAAAATTTTGGAGCATGGCAATAGTAAATTGACAATTTATCCCTAAAAAAGGAAGGGGGTAATTTCTAAGTGACTGTCATGTGACCAACAGATGACCCCTCTTCTTCAGTTGTTGGTGTATCTTTGTAATAGAGGATTTTATGTCATCTAATGAGTTAAGATTGAGTTACATTATGTACATAACATATATGTATATATGTATATATATATATATATATATATATATATATATATATATATACACATACACACACATATGTATATAATACTTGATTTGATTTTAAGCAGTCACTACATCCCATGTGAGGCCCGAACTCACAACCCCGAGATCAAGGTTTGCATGCTCCTCCGACAGAGCCAGCCAGGCGCCCCTTATATATTTTAAAACTTAAACTCCCTGCCCTCTTTGCAAAGAATTCATGCCATTTCATTTTCCAAGCGCATTCTAGTTTTGTTTGTATTTTTGTGTGTAGATTGTGCCTTGCCAGTACATGCTGCAGACAATGAAGGACGAACAAGTTTTCTACATTCAATACTTGAAGTCCATGGCATTTTCAGTGTACTGCCAGTGCCGGCGACCTCTGCCCACACAGATCCACATTAAGTCCCTCACAGGATTCGGGCCTGCCGCCAGCATCGAGATGACCCTCAAGAACCCAGAGGTAGGTAGTAGCACAGCAGAAATTTCTAAAAGAGTGCTTTTATACTAGGGATACAAGCCAGGAGAGTTGGCTGCTGGGTGCATCTTCTGCCTTTGTTAAGAGTGGGAGGTTTCTCTGATCCTTAATTTAAAATAGAGGAGGTACTTCTCTAAACTTGTAAAAATTTTTGAGAAAGGAGATAAGCAAACTCTTGGTGTTTTTTGATGTAGCATCTAAGGCGGCAATATACTCATCACTCTTACTTACTAATGTTTGACTTTCCTATGTTTATTTTGTTCTCTATTTTTTGAAGCTGATCTGTTATTAATCACTGGCTTTCTCCCTTCCCTAGCTCTTGTCTCTCCTGGTACAGCAGTTGTGCATGCGTTCACTCTGCAGGGGCTCCGAATTTTCCAAAGCAGGTGTTTACAGGGGCTTGCTTTCTCTTCCCTTATCTCGGTGCTTCTGATATATAAACGGGTGCTTTTTCTCTCCATCTTCTTTTTTTTTTTTTTTTTTTTTTTTTAAATTTTTTTTTTTTTTTTTTTTCAGAGAGAGAGAGCGCGAGAGTGAGCACAAGCAGATAGAGTGGCAGGCAGAGGCAGAGGGAGAAGCAGGCTCTCTGCTGAGCAAGGAGCCCGATGTGGGACTCGATCCCAGGATGCTGGGATCATGACCTGAGCCGAAGGCAGCGGCTTAACCCACTGAGCCACCCAGGCGTCCCTCTCTCCATCTTCTTAAACCTACTTCCCACAGATATGTACCTCTAGGGGAATTTTAAAACACTAAACAAAAGATGTATACTTTTTTTATTTTACGAATGACTTTATCCTGAAGATAGATGAACAGGGCAATGTTTAGAATTTTCGAAGCCTTCAAAAATCAGTTCCCACAACTTCTATTGCATGAAAGATCACCCGTTAATAAAAGCCCGCAAACACCTCTTGATATTAAAGGAACTTAAAAACACCAATACCTGCTGATTTTAGTTGGTAATGTAAGTTTTTCTGGAAAACTCAGTGAAATGCTTATCTCCTGTATAAATAAAAACTCAGAAGTGGGGGGCACCTGGGTGGCTCAGTGGGTTAAAGCCTCTGCCTTTGGCTCAGGTCATGATCCCAGGGTGCTGGGATCGAGCCCCTGCATCAGGCTCTCTGCTCAGCAGGGAGCCTGCTTCCCCTCCTCTCTCTGCCTGCCTCTCTGCCTCCTTGTGATCTCTGTCAAATAAATAAATAAAATCTTTAAAAAAAAAAACCAAAAAACTTAGAAGTGGGGAAAAAAATGAGGCATGTAGTTAATAACACATTTGTTGTCACTCGATCCAGAAGAAACTGCTTAGCCCACAACCCAAGTTCATTCTGCGGTTATATACAATTTCTGTCTTTGGCAGTTTAGGTTGGTTTATTCTTTTGAGTTTTAATTTTTCACTTTTGTGAGCAGTTCATCTATTTTCTCTGTTAGCTTTTTTTCTAGAATAAAAAAAATTATTTCTACTGGTTTTTTCTTTTGTCTCCAGAAATTGAGTTACTGCCTTTCTTTATAAACTTAGAACCTTTTAGTTCTTTACCTCATGTAGTTATTCTATAGTTCAGATGCAGTCATTCCTTATGCTTTGGTAAGAAGTTGCCATATTTTCAAATGATAACTGATAAGTGTTCTGCATTTTCATAGAGGGGAGTGAAGGCTGACTACCTGTATTAAGATGTCCTGAGGCATTACCTACAAGTTTTAAAGTTTATAACGTACTGGCAGAACAGTGTCAGTAGCTCATGAGATAAATGGATGACTCTAGATGAAAAGAGATGGCAAAAATAAGTCTTTTTTCCCCTTTTGCTTTGTAACAGGAAGAGAAAGAAATCATTTGACATTATTAAAAGCAAAATCAAAGGTTACATGTATTTTCTGAGGTTTATAAATTTTTATGGGTATTATGGTAATGACTAATTGCTAAATGCTTCCACTCCCTCAGTCTGCAGCTAAGCAGGGCACTTTCATTCAGTAAATACAGCCAAGTGTCTGCTGTGTGCCAGGCCCTATGTTAGGTGCTGAGGACTTGGTGGTGAGCAGGGCAGCTGGGCCTCTGCACCTGGGAATTCCGAATCCCTACTGCGGCACAGCCTTATGCAAGCACACTTTACATAAGAAGGAATGGGTTTCAGTATTTACCATGCAAGTATTAGAAGAAATTCTATTGTTGGTGTCACTTCTTCTGTTTTTCATAGAATATCCAGTATCTGAAAAACATTTGGGGAATAATATTTTACTTTGTGATTTATCACAGGCTGTCTGTTGCACCTAAGACATTTGGCATTTAACCTTCTCCTTTTTGCTAGACTTTTCAGGCACTCTCACCTGACTGTCCTGTTTTGTTTGAAAGCTTTATTGAGACATAATTCGCATGTTATAACATTCACCCTTTTAAAAATTGCATCGTCTGGTGGTTTTTAGTTTGTTCACAGAATTGTACAACTATCACTGCTGTCTCATTTTAAAGATTTTTATTTATTCATTTGACAGAGAGAGAGATCAGAAGTAGGCAGAGAGGCAGGCAGAGAGAGAAGGGGCGGGGAAGCAGGCTCCCTGCTGAGCAGAGAGCCCGATGCAGGACTCGATCCCAGGACCCTGATACCATGACCTGAGCTGAAGGCAGAGGCTTAACCCACTGAGCCACCCAGGCGTCCCTGCTGTCTCGTTTTAGAACATTTTGCCAACCTGGAACAAAACGCCATACCTATTAGCAGCCACTCATTTCCCCTTCCCCAGCCCTTGATGGCCACCAGTCTCCTTTCTGTCTCTATGGAGTTGCGAGTTTTGGGCACTTCATATAAATGGATCATACAATATGTAATCTTTTATGTCTGGCGTCTCATTTAGCATGTTTTCAAGGTCCATTCATGTCATAGCTTGTATAGTATTTTACTTCTTTTTGTGGTTAAATGATATTCCATTGTATGGATATATACCACATTTTGTTTACTCATTCTTTAGTGGATGGCCATTTGAGTCTTTCCACTTTTTAGCTATTGTGGATAATACTGTTTTGAACATTTGTGCACAAGTGTTTCTGTTGAAAATGTTTTCCGTTCTCTTGGTAAATACCTAGAAGTAGACTTTACAGGTGTAGGGAGAATGAATGGATCGATGATAAGGTTAGCTTTGAAACTTTGAGCACATTGTTTAATATCTCTAGGCCTGTGTTTTGTGTCCCTAAAATGAAGGAATTGCATTAGACTCTTTCTCAGGTCTTTATTTTAGCTTTAAAATTCTGTAATTCCATTATTACTGCTTTTTATGCCATAAATATGTGTATGCCATATGTATGGATGGATGGATGGACGAACATGTATTCATTCGGGTCAGCAGCTGTTACTGTGGTGTTACTCCGGGCTCAGGTTAGCCTGCTACAGCCTGTGTTGGTATGACGTGGATAAGAATGATTGTTCCATTTTTAAAAAGAGAAGAAAACTCAGAAGAAGAGAGACCCATAAAGCCTAAAGTATTTGCTGTTTGGAAGTGTGCTGACCCCAATATTATTAAATATTGAAATGTGGATAATAGTTGTAAAAAAATGGTACAGAGTTGGTTTAAAATATTTGTCTTACTGATAACAGCTAATGCTTTGATTTCTTAACTCACACACACACACACACACACACACACACTCTCAGTCACTCTGAGGTATAATCTACATGCTGAAAAGTACCCAATGATAAGTATACCATTTGGTGAATTTCTGCTAAACACATCACATAGCAAGCACAAGAAACAAAAGCTGAAAAGCATCGAGAAATGTCTTTCACATCCCTTCTAGTCATTCTATTGATAATCAGTGTTCTGACTTAACAACAACTTATCTTGCCTGTTTTTGACTTTCATTTAAATTGAGTCATATAATTGGTATTTTCTGTGTCTGGCTTCTTTTACCCAGTGTCTAGATTCATCTGTCCTGTTACATGGGGTGGTAGTTTTACCTGTCTTTGCTCTTTAATATTCTGACTATATAGCTATAACACAGTTTATCTTCCATTTTACTGGTGATGGGCATTTAGGTTATTTTTAATTTGGAGCTGTTAGGATTAAAACTGTTGTGGACTGTCTTACACCTGTCCTTTGGTAAACATAGATGTCCACTAGATTGGGTCAAGGGTATGTGTGAGTTTGGCTTTAGCAGAGATTGTCACTTTTCCAAAGAGATTACATCACCAGCAGTGTATGAAAGTTCTAGTTGCCCCACATTCTCACTGATACTCAGTGTTTTCTTTTTTAATCTGACATTCTGGTGGGTATGTAGTAGTCTCTCATTGTGGTTTTAATTTCTGCTTTCCTGATGACTAATGAAGTGGGGCCGGTTTACTTTCCAAAATAGTAATTTCCTTTTAATAAGGAAACATTGGCTTGATTGGAGTTCCCTAGCTGATGTCCTTTAAACAGTCCCTATTTAGGTATGTAATACTTCTGGGGGGCAGTCTGTTGTCATTACTCCCCATTGGTTTTATGTGCTCTTTGGTGTTTTGTTGTAAACATTGAGTTGGGTGGCTTTGTCTTGATACCAGCTTTTATTTTGATTTCAGCGACCCAGCCCAATCCAGCTTTATTCCCCTCCTTTTATATTGGCCCCAATCAAAGACAAGCAGACGGAGCTGGGAGAGACATTTGGAGAGGCGAGCCAGAAATACAACGTGCTCTTTGTGGGCTACTGTCTGTCTCATGACCAGCGCTGGCTTTTGGCTTCCTGCACTGACCTCCATGGGGAATTATTAGAAACTTGTATTGTAAATATTGCTTTACCAAACAGGTGAGGAGTTTCAGTGTTTATGCTGTGTGTAAATTGATGCTCTGCCTTTCCTCAGATATGAGTCATTCTGATTTTCCTGACTAAATGCAGTGGGTGCTTTGTGGGTGGGTTCTTTGGAAGTTTTATGGGTTTGGTTTTGCCTTGCTAAGTGATCACTTTGACTTGACTCATTTGGAGACCCCTTCCTCACTTCTTTCTTTTTTTAGATCACGGAGGAGTAAAGTATCTGCACGTAAAATTGGACTACAGAAGTTATGGGAGTGGTGCATAGGTATTGTCCAAATGACATCTCTACCCTGGAGAGTTGTAATCGGCCGACTTGGGCGGCTTGGCCATGGGGAGCTTAAAGGTGAGAGATTCCTAAAGCAGTCAATACAGGAAACAAAGGAAGAGTGTTAAGCTAATGTCCCTAACTGAGCTGAGGGAGAAAATTATAAAGTTGATAGTAAGAATAAAGCAGATTTGTATTTTCGGATTCTTTTAAATGTAGTTTTAAGTGCAGTTTTTAAACTTTTCGTTATCAACAAAACCATTTACCAAAGAAAATCTTAACTACTGAACCCCAATATAAAAGATATGAAAAAGAATGTTTTATTAATATTAAAGTGATAGTAAATTAGGACTTCTGACGTTTATTTACGTACTGAGTCAGTGAGATCAAATCAGTTTTAACACGAATCTTTAAATGGGAGATTGTGGATGATGGTAGAAGTCATATGTAAGAATAGACTTCTGTTTTTTTTATTTCTTTTTGGTGATTGATGGTGATACAGTTTGTATTTATTTTGTGTTGGTGGCACAAGAGCAAAGTAATCCTGATTTACAAGGACAAAACGTTGCAAGTTGGAGTGGTCTTTATTCACATTGCCACTGTCTCATAGACTTCAGTCTGGACGCCTAAGAGAATAGACTTTTTAGGTTGAATCCCCCCATATGCCTACCCGCTACTAATAGTTCCCATCATAAATATAACAGTCAGTTACAAAGCAGTAAAAATAACTAACAGCACAGCTGACCACTGGCAGCGGTGTTACCTGGCTTTGAGCCAAGCTCGTTTGCTGTCTTACTATAGCTATTTTACGTGAGCAGTATGAATAGTTCTAGATTATTTTTTAAAGCCTTATTAATTAATATACATTTATAAAAAGTTTAGTGTATACATATAGATGGGAGAAATTTTTTTTGTTCCCCTTAAGGTCTACACAAAAGCAAATCATATGTCACAAATTAGCCTGGTGGTTTTGTGCATTCAACTATATTAGAGCAGAGTCAGCAAACTTTCTATGTAAAGGGCCAGGTAGTAAATATTTTCAACTCTGCTGGCCAGCTTGTCACTGTTGCAGCCTGTCAACTCTGCCATTGTAAAGTCAGAGCAGCCACAAACAACACCTAAGTGAATGGGTTTTGCTTTGTTCCAATAAAACTTTGTTTACAAAAACAAGTGCTGAGGAGGATTTGGCCCGTAGGCTATAGTTTGTGGAGCCCTTATATTAGAGTGCACATATTGTTTCTTTGCATGAAATTTATATCAGATATTTATGAAATCTTTGAAATAAGACCCTGATAACAGATACAACCTGCATTGTAGCAAGTGCTCAAGTAGGCTAAGTATTAGGGTTGAAAAGCAGTTTATACATATATTACATGAAAATAAGTATAAGTGTTTTCTTAGGAATCTATTGTGTGTAAGATTTTTTTTTTTACTAGTTATACTATAGGCCAATAGAAAATATTACCCTTGCCTTTTGTAAGTATAATATTCTTTTTTTTTTAAGTTTTTTTTTTTAAGATTTTATTTATTTGACAGAGATTACAAGTAGGCAGAGAGGCAGGCAGAGAGAGAGGAGGAAGCAGGCTCCCCGCTGAGCAGAGAGCCCGACGTGAGGCTCGATCCCAGGACTCTGAGATCACGACCCGAGCCGAAGGCAGAGGCTTCAACCCACTGAGGCACCCAGGCGCCCCAAGTATAATATTCTTTAAAAATGAATCTTCTGTTGGGAGCCTGGAGGTCTGATACATTTGGGGGTTCATCATTTCAATTGTCGGGACATTTCCTGTCCCATCTCTTGGTGTGCCTTATAGTCGCTCTTATCTCTTAAAGGGTTTGAGCTGCTCTTAACCCTTGGGAAAAGTTAGAATATAATAGAAAAGAAGAAGAGAGGATAAAAATGTAGCCTCCTAGTCTAGTCACTTGGTGTTTTCGATAATTATTACGGCCATTTCCTTCCTTTGTGTGTGTGTGTGTGTGTTTTTGTTTTTTTTTTTTAAAGCAGGGGCATACTCTTCTTATTTCTTAGGGGAAAAGAATATAAGTGTGACCGATCCCATCAAAAAGTTGAGAGACAATGTACTTTAAGGGGTTAAAGACATCGAGAAGAGCCTAGTATACAGGAAATCAGTTTACCAATCTACATTTCATTCCTTTGGGGACCTGAGGTCCCCAACACGGTGCACGAAATGCACCGTGTTGCATTTCGGTGGGATAGTATTGTATGTGAGCCTACAGAGTTCAGAGTCAACTCTGTGAATTTTTGTTTTTTATCACCAGAGTATCTGTGGTAAAATACATATACTGCCTTTTCTTTCTCACTTGGTTTTAAAAACTCATGCCTGTTTGATTTTTCTGTGGCTTTTAAAAATACATTCTTCATGTCTTATTTCACTTTTATTTCAGCCACTTCAGCATAAGATTCTTTAGGAATATGAAATAAGGAACAGTTGTTCCTTTCATCTCTTTAAAGGGAGCACAGTATGTTTGATAAAACTACGTAAAAGTGGAAACCTGTGGTGGAGTAGCCTTTCCTCAGTGGAACAGTGGGGCGGGACATGGACAGCATGTGCTGCTGCAGGAGCAAGGCACGCTCCATGTGTGGTGGGGGTCAAAGAGAAGACTAAGGGCTTTTCCATTCCCAGAGTAACGTAACCCTCTACAGTTCTCTGAGGACACATAGTGCCTTTGTGTAAGGCAGTCAGCAAATATTAGAGAATTCGTGCCAGCATTTTAATCTGAACGATTAGTGTGATGTCACTTGGAGCACTTCACTCACACCCATTGTTATCTGCTCCCTTGGGCCTTCTAAGAAGGGTTCCCCTTATTTCTGTACTGCTTGCCTTTCATGGAAACAGCCAGTCTACAACAGTAAACAGAACGGAGGTTTGCCTCCAACGAGCTGTTCTTCTAAGGAAAAGTGCTGAGGCGGGGCAGGGGGAAGTGGAGGGTTGGCGGGTAGGGTGAGGGGGGGGTGCAAGAACCAGAACTGGAGAAGGGAGGGGAGAAGGAAGGATAGAACAAGTTGGCCTCATCATGAAAAAGCATCTGAAGCACCTAAATCTATGTGGGTGTGCGCCGGACTCTTCCGGCTCATTTCAGACATGATTTCAGTCTACTCAATAGTAGGCCTTTGTTCCTTTGTTAATGAAGTGTAAGAGAGGTCAGGGAACGTCTTCTTTATAGTAAGGAGGGGAACCTGTACAAAGCCTTATTCCCTTTAGGGCCAATCCTGGAAATTCAATTACCAAGCAAATCTGGTAAAACATTTAAGCCTCCTGTCTGTGAATTTCTGAAGACTGAGTATGGCCGTGATATTTGATTTCAGATTGGAGTATCCTCCTTGGAGAATGTTCACTACAGACAATCAGCAAACGGCTCAAGGACGTGTGCCGGATGTGTGGGATCTCTGCCGCAGACTCTCCTTCAATCCTTAGTGCCTGCCTGGTTGCCATGGAGCCCCAGGGGTCCTTCGTAGTGATGCCAGGTGAATCTCTTCTTGTCAGTTTCAGTAATTAGGTATCACATCAGTTCAGCTCACTCAAACTTAAGTCTACAGACAAGTGTGGAATAGATCTTCATTATCTTTGTGAGAGAAGATTGTATTTAGGGTTCAAAAATGGAAGTTTGGTCTCTTCCAAAGGCAGGGGTTTGTGATTTTGTTGTCTTTGTTGACCATCATTTGGAAGAGAGTCTAAGACTGAGAGCTCTTAGAGTCATGGCCAGTTACTGTGGCTTGACCCTGATTGTTGCTGGTATATGAGGATCACCCTCCAGAAGGGAACACTACTGTCATGATACATATTTGAATATTCTTTTGAAGACAAATACTTGGCAATGTCTGAGCAGCCTCATGAGGATATTTGAGTCTTTCTGATGTGGTTGAGGATGAATGGTGAGACAAGTAGAAAGGTGAAGTGATTAATGCTATATCTGGCCCAGAGTAAGTGCTCAGTAAATGGGAGTGCCAGTGTATGGATAGCCAAAAGATTGTGGCCATAGGATTTTAAAAAATTAGCAACTAAGCTATTTGATAATTTTATAACTAAGCAATTTTCTATCTAATTTTCTACCTTTTTCAGTCTGCTCTTACTCTCTGGATATGCCTCTGATCAAATGGGACATCCTGTCCACTTACTCCCTATAAAAACCAGTAGCGTTTTGTGAGAACGAGCTTATTTGTCATCAGTCCAGTGAGAAGCAGATGTCCTCTGTTGGCCTCTTTAGACCCTAGGTTCATTGTTGCCTGCGCCACTTGGGCATATTTCATAACTTCTTTGTTCTCTGCCCTCCGTATGATATGTGGATAATAATCGTGCCTCAAGGTAGCTGTGATGACTGAATGACGTGACGTTGGTGAATGCAGAGCTTAGCACAGAATCTGGCATGTAGTGAGCACTCAATAAATGCTAGTTACCATAATTATTAGTTGAATGGTACCATTTCTACAAAATTGTATCATTTAGGAGAACAGTCCTTTATAAATTGTGAGCAACCACAGGAAGAAAGTGGGAGATTTATTTTTAGAAATGCTTCTTACATAAGTAATTAAAACTTATTTAGTGGGCACAGTCCAGTTTTAGCTTAACCTTTCCCATATGACATGAGGCTTGGGTTATCATAACTGTATGCTCTGAGTCTGGTTGTTTTGTTTTTTGTTTGTTTGTTTTTTGTTTTTTTTTTTTTGTTTTTTTTTTTAAGAGATATTTACACATTTAGGCAGAACTGTAAATGTGTATCCATCTTAGCAGTCGTGTTGAGTCTGTGTCAGACTCCTGTCTCTCTAGCTCAGGTCCTCCTAAAACTTCATTTCTGGAGTTGTTTACTGATGCACAGAAGGAACTGATGGTTTTTCTTTTTTTCCTTTTTTTAAAAATTTTTTTTATTTTAAAGATGCCGTCACGATGGGCTCTGTTTTTGGCCGAAGTACCGCTCTGAACATGCAGTCATCTCAGCTGAACACCCCTCAAGATGCTTCCTGTACGCACATCTTGGTGTTCCCAACATCATCAACCATCCAGGTGGCTCCAGCCAACTATCCCAATGAAGATGGGTTTAGCCCCAATAATGGTGAGTGTGGAAGGCCATAGAAGCATAGAGCTCAGATTCTCCAGCAACATGCAGAGCTGAAGCAGGGAGTCAGTGGGCTGCTGCATGTGTTCCAAAAAAAAAAAAAAAAAAAAAAAAAAAAACCATAAAAAAATACGAAGAGGGGATTGAAGGTTGGAGAATCTGTTTGGTTTCGAAGATTCATGTACAACTATTACCAGGACCAAAAAAGTATTTTCCTCTCTTGTGTAATTAGTTTTTCCCCAAAGGCAAAAAAATACCAGGCTGGTCGTGCCTGGTACCTGGGGGCCACTCTTAGAGTAAACACTGATCTGATTTGAGAGGTCTGCAGATTCCCAGACAGTGTGAAATAGCTCCTGTCTTTAGCTAATTGTTGGGAATTTAATTTGCTCCAAAACAACTCCTTATTTGATTATTCTTAATAGATTTCTTTGGTTTGATTATCTATTAAGGCATTTGTTAAGTAGTGATTACTTATAAACTAAAATGCCCAGTATTATATAGCCATTTGCATTGTTTTTTGAAGATTTTTTTAATAGCTACCCACATTTACTCCTGTTTAGGGCGGGTGGTAAAAAGATACCAAACTTTATACATCGTGTGATCGTAATGGAATAACAATATGAGAAAAAAAATCATAGCAAAAACGTTCACAGTACTTGCATTCTGGGTGATAGTTTTCCCTTTTTATACTTTCCAAATTTTCTGCTGTGTGTGTACCTTACTTTTATAATGTAGGAGAGGATTTCTTAATGAAAACATCATGCTTTGATCTGCTTTTGGAATAGGCCTCCAGTTTCAGGGCAAGTTCACACCTATTAATATGTATTAATTCAGCCTCCAGTGTTTTAGATGCTAATTGGATATGTAGATGGAGTCTGCTGTTTTCTTAGATGGTGTCAGTTTTAACTTTGTTTAATAATTAAATTGCTTCTTTAGCTGTTTTGCCATAACTTATTATGTGTCTTTGGAAGCTACACAGAGTGTGGGGTTTTGTTTTATGTTCTTTATTTCTCCAGTCTCTTAATACTTCACATTAGAAGATCATTGAACAGAATACAAAATGCAAAAATAATTCTCAGCAACTTGCATCCAGTAGACAACACATTAATAAGTCTTACCAAGTTGTTAACAGTGTGTGCTTGTAACAGTCCTGGGCCAACAAAACTGAATATTGTTTAAATTGTGGATATGGATTATTTTTCAAATTTCTGTGCTTTTCCTCCCTCCTTTCTAGATGACATGTTTGTTGACCTTCCATTCCCAGATGATATGGACAATGATATTGGCATATTAATGACTGGGAACCTCCATTCCTCTCCCAACTCCTCCCCAGTTCCTTCCCCAGGCTCTCCTTCTGGAATTGGTGTGGGCTCTCACTTCCAGCACAGTCGGGTAAGGATGATTTAAAGTAGGTTGTTTAAAACAACCTCAGCCTTCAGGGAAAATAATCTTCCAGAAGGGTGATTGTCTCTTTACTTCATGCACCTTTCTTCTTCATGGTCTTTGGCCCTGGTACAAGAGAAATCAGTGTGGAAAAGTGACTCTCTAGTTGTTCTGTTTTAATTGAAGGCAGGAATTAGAAAGAAATGGATCATTATTCCTGAAAAATGTTCCTGATGAATATGTTTTATCAGAAGAATAGTCCTATTACAGCAGGGAGGCTTTTTTTTTTTTTTTTTTTTTTTCCCAACGACTGTTTTCTCAGCAAAAAATAGGTTTGGTTGCTTGCTGCTTCCCAGTTATTTATTTATTTATTTATTTACTTACTTACTTTTGCCAAAATAGTGACTTTTCAGGGCTACTTTGACAGCCCTGCTTATTTAACATGTAAAGTGACTGTCTTAATTAAGAACACATTGTTGTTGGTTGATTTTTCTGATTATTCTGAAACGAGTTTTACTCTTCTTGTTTCATGTCATGGTGCCTTAGTTTGTATATAGTTCCAGTCTTTCTTTTAGCCGGGTTTCAAAATGGCAAGGGCCCATGAAAGGTTGATTTTGGAGATGTGTCCAGGCTCATGCCCCAGTATTAAGGAAAAACATCAAAGCCGACAACTAGTTTTCATCTTTAAATATCCCAGGGATGTTGGAGGTGGATTAACAGGATCGAAGAGTAAAAGGTTCTGCTGTAGCTTGTGTTAACTTTGTTTAAAAGCTAGATGATTCACTCTTTTGTACGTTTTATTTAAAATATTGTGAGATTGATGGTTTAAGACATAGAAAAATGGCTCTGTCTACTATGTTAAACTCGGCAAGCATAAACAACTCTTCTCACACTCATTTAAAGACAGAGTTGTAGTAAGAGGACTTAGGTTTCTGTCCGTGGGACTTTCGTTGCCAGCCTGGAGTTCATTGAGGGACAGTCAAAAGAAAGAAGATTTAGAATGTTAGTCATAGAGCACATAAAACCAGGAAAGAGTGACTCAGTAGGCTTACCCTCATGTAACTGCCTGCCCCCCAGTCCTCCTTTCTAGAAGGAAGAGTTTTTTTTAAACGTCTTTATTTCCTCCATAATCATTTGTCAGTTAATGACAGTTTATGGGTTCTTTGGAGATTGTTGTGATAGGAACCAAGATTTCAGATTTTATGTCAGATAGTTTTAATTTAGGATTAATGTGAATTCTAGAGGCAAATAGCATAGCAACTAAGAACACATGCCCTGGAGTTTGATAGACGTAGCTCCGAGTTACAGCTGCACAGCTTCTAGCATGGTGACCTTGACCAAGCTTTCTTGGCCTTTCTTAGCCTCATTTACCTTATCTGTGAAATGGAAATTATAACAACCACCTTTCAGTGCCCTTGGTTGCACTTTAGCTTATCCAGGAACAAAGAATTGGTCTTTGAATTGCCATGTGAGTTTGTAAGAAACAGAGCTTTGCTGTACTTTCTGCCTTTGTCAGACCCTCAGGCCCTGAAGTCCGAGATTGCATGTTCTGAAGCTGGTCAGGTGGCCCTTTTCTGTCCTGAGCACCTGCAGCCCAGTGACCCCTGAGCAGCTCTCAGAGTAGTTCCCCTTTCTGAAGCATTAATTTTTTTTTAATATTTTATTTATTTATTTGACAGAGATCACAAGTAGGCAGAGAGGCAGGCAGAGATAGAGGAGGAAGCAGGCTCTCCACTGAGCAGAGAGCCCGATGTGGGGCTCGATCCCAGGACCCTGGGATCATGACCTGAGCCGAAGGTAGAGGCTTAACCCACTGAGCCACCCAGGCGCCCCTGAAGCATTAATTTTTGATAGCCAGTTAAGGCATTACAACAGCAGAAAGAATTTGTTCAGGGTTGCAGTAAGTTTTTATTTTTTGATCAACTCAGAATTAATACAATTTGATGTGATAGTTGAGGACTATTTTTTTCCTCCGAACAGAAGGCCTTTGAAAACAAACGATGACTTCTTACTGCTTGCATAAAAAGTAATTTTCAGCTCTTGGAGCCAGCTAAAAGAACCAAAGAGGAGGAAAATATCAGTTGCCAAATGCACAGTAAGGCTCTCACAGAGGTTTCGTATTAAGGAGTTTGCTGAAAATTAAAACAAAGCCTCTTCTTGAGCAGATCTTACACCACTGGGGGGGTCAGGGACACTGTTGTCACACAAGGAGTGGTGCAGTGTTAACGTTTTCCTAACATCTGTGTTGTTGACAGTAGACAGGTGTGCTCATGTATTTTGATTGATTGCTGGTGAAAGAGCACCTGGGTGTGGGGGTGTCTTCAGCTGCCGGAGGCCTTCCTTTCCACCTTTAGTTTGATGCCTTATGCCATGGAACCCATCTTACTTGAACAGAAAAGAAACCAGAGCAAATAAATCTGTATTTGCTTGACTCACGTAGATGTAGTTAGTTTTGCTGGGACCTTCTGCCTGGGCCATATTTCTCATCAGGTGTCTTCACATGCAGCAAAGACCACGTGCCTCCCCTGTTGACCTTTCTCAGTCACCTGGCGTTTTTGTGTGAAAGGCTGCCAGAAGGGGGTCCACAGTGTGCAGAGTGACTTGGTAAAAAGTTGAATTGCGAGCTCTCTTCGAAGTGATAAGTGCTGATCATGCTCTTGGGACTTTGTTTTGCAGAGTCAGGGCGAACGTCTTCTCTCTAGAGAGGCACCTGAGGAGCTAAAGCAGCAGCCTCTGGCCCTCGGGTATTTTGTATCAACTGCCAAAGCGGAGAATCTCCCGCAGTGGTTTTGGTCATCGTGTCCGCAGGCTCAGAACCAGTGCCCCCTCTTCCTAAAGGTTGGTTTGGTGTCATGTTTGAAGTTTTGGGGAGGAGGGTCTTATGCTTAAATTCGGGTTTGATTAGAAACTTGAATCTTAGCACAGTCTTACTGTGCTCCCTGTTTCTTTCACATCTTCTTATACTCTGAGGGGATTTTAAATACAGTTCGTGGGGGGTGGGGTGGGGAGTAAATCAAGAGAGGAACCCAAAGCCATTAACACAGAGGAAGCAATCACGTTAACCCAACGTGGAGACTTGGTGGGGTCCACAGGGCATGAGTCGGGTGGACACTTGGTTCTGTGTCAGTCCATGCTGCATTGCCATCGCTGAAGGTGAGCTTGGGCGGAGGTGATCATTGATCTCTTCCCCTTCTGCCATAGGCTTCAGCTTCTTCATTAGAGTAGGGCAGGAGGCAGCTAAATTTACCTTGACACGTGCTCATTCTTGTAGATCTTGGAATTTAAGGGTTAAAACAAAAGATCTCTCACTTCAGTTTGGATGAAAGAACCTGGAATGAAATCCATGTCTCACCCACAGATTGGCAAGAAGCCAGAAATTTGACAATATGCTCTGTTGGCAGGGCTGTGGGGGAGATGGCCCTGGTGCCAGTAGGAAAGCCAGGTGACACAACCCCACATGCTTCCCTATCGATGCAGCAATTTCACCTCTGGAGGTCTGTTCAGAAGAAACTGGCAACACCAAAAAAAATGAAAAATGTAAAAGATTGGAAGCACCCGAATCGTTTACCAGTAAGGGACTAGTTGGATGAACTAGGATATCCGTTCAGTGGGGTGTTAGTTATCCACAGCGAAGCAAGTACTGTTGTCGTATAATCAGTCTTCTGAGTGTAGATTACCTTATAGTAATTGTGATAAGGTGTGTGCATGCACACACCTGCTTGTGTTTCCAAAAAGAAACTAGGAGAGGTTAAACCAAACACAATTGAAGCAATTTCCTTTAATGGCTATGACATGCTATGATGAAACCCAGGAAGTTACATAAAAAATCCATGTCATCTTTATTTCCGATTAGACTTGTCAGGATGAACCTAGATTTATTTTTTCCTCTTAAGAAAAGCATGCACATTTTTTAGCTCCGTCTACTGAAAAAGCTTAAGAGCAGTAACAGCTTCGTATCCATAAACAACTGTCTTGCTATAGTTGTCATTCTGAAATACCATTTATCATTTGAAAGAACCAGAGTTCCTTTGAAGAAAGGACTGATTGTAGGTCTGAAGTAAGAAATATTCAAGATGAACCTATGATATGTTGTCACACCGAAAAGCAAAAAAGTTACATAAGATAATTAGAGTTACTTCAAAGGATCCAGGAGCCTACTGGAGGGTTCCCATTGACCAATTATGGGACAATTTGAACATAAAGAAGAGCAGTGGTAGCAGGAGACTGAAACAAATATATGGGTTCATAATTGTATTGAAAACCAGAACATCTTCTCAGTCACCTTCTGAAGCTACTAGAGCAACAATTCATTAATCTGGCAACTAAAAAATAGAAAAGCATTTATATTAACTCTCCTTCACATACTGTATTTCTCAATTATTTAAGAAAGTAAAATTATGCTAAAGCCATTAGGTGAAAAATTGTTGGGGAACTTTCTAATGAATGGAGCATGCTGATGACCTCTTACCCAGTGATCAGTTGCACTTCAAGTGGGACAGCAGACATTAGTTGCCTTATGATAGGATGCGGTAAGAAGGACACAGCATCTGTTATGAAGTGTTCGTGCACCCTGTTTCCCTCCCTCCCCCAGAAAGAAACTGAGCCTAATTTGAGCCTCTAGATCTGTCAGCTTATGGGAAGTCAGGTTAGAAGAACATGTTGAATGACTACCACAAGGAGACAACCAGTCATATCCAGACCCTGTCGCCTTTTAGAGACTAAAACCCAAAGAAGCATGGTATCTAATCATTTGCAGTGCATTTGTATTTGCTGGAAAGCTATATATGGAGTTACATTACATATAATGGGATCACATTGGGTTACTGTGAGTTTAAAATTCACGCTTCTAGAAGCAGTGACTTCTAAGGACTCCAGGGGGCATCTGCTGCGAGCAGATGTGGGTCTGCCTTTTTTCCTGCTCCGTGGTTGATGAGGCCAGGAAGGTAACTGTCTTTGTTCTTTTGCCAGGCTTCGCTGCATCACCACATTTCTGTAGCACAGACGGACGAACTTCTCCCTGCCAGGAATTCTCAGCGGGTTCCACATCCTCTTGACTCCAAAACCACATCTGATGTTTTAAGGTAGATACAGACATAGGCAACATAACTGTACAAGATTACTGAAATAATCTTCCTTCAGTTTTGTTTTTCCAAGGTGTTTTAAATGTGGAAAGTGTACTGCCTTTTGTGCAGGGGAGCACTGTCTAATTAGCCAGTGAAAGCTGCAGTCCCCCTGTGTGAGCAGTGGATAGTATACTTTGTTAAATTACATAGGTATGTACGAGTACAATTGCCCTTGCTTCCTATTTAAAGGAGGCATTTTATGGTGATGAAAATAGATCAGAATTAGGGGGTGGGTGGTTAGAAGACAGAGCCTGGAACCTCAAGCACTTGGCTTTGAAAACATCTTTTTTACTCCCCCTGACACAGATTTTATAAATAAAATTAACTGGAACATAAATTCCATAGTTGGGACATCTCTCCCAGAAGTGTACACTAATTCTCTTGCACTTTCGCAGGTCATAAACATTCTTCATGTACCTTACGGAAATATGCAAGCTTTTTCTAGTGTTTGGTAACTCTTAAATGATTTGAAAATTAAGCAAAAACCTGATCAACATGATTTTGGCTTTCAGGGTCTCTAGTGCAGCACTGTTGAAGAGAATGGGAGCCACATATGGGAACCACATATCTAATTAAATTTTTTTAGTAGCAACATTAAAATAGTAAAATAAGTTGAAGTTAATTTTAATAATTATATCAATTGTATCAAAATTATATCAGAATAATATCAAGTGTATGAAAAACAGTATCATTTCAGTAGTTAATATAAAGATATCCATGAGCTATTTCACTGCCTTTTTTTTTTTTTTTTTAATGAATTCCTTGAAACCAGGTGCCCGTTTTATACAGACAGCACAGGCGACTCCGCCTGTGGCAGTCGTGCAGGGCTAGGTGCAGCGGGTGCGTGAAAGGAAGGACCGCAGGGCCGAGGGCAAGAATGACCCAGGCCCTCCCCCGCTGACATCTGGAATGCTCACATGTACAGCCAGCGTCTCCTCTGCTGCGCCTATGCCTCTGACCTGTGTCTTCTCTCTGGCAGGTTTGTTTTGGAGCAGTACAACGCTCTGTCCTGGCTCACGTGCAATCCGGCCACCCAGGACCGCACCTCCTGCCTTCCCGTCCACTTTGTGGTGCTCACTCAGTTGTACAACGCCATCATGAATATACTTTAATTGGAAAAGCACTTGTTCTCTCTGGCTCAGTTCCTCCTTCTTGCAGCCTCATCCGAGGAGCCTGCTCCACTCTGCAAATGCCCCACGTCCTCTTCTTGAGACCACGCTCTACAATCCTGCACTGTGATTACTCCTCTGCAGTGCTCATTACCAGAGGGATTCACTGACACTTCTCTCGTGGACCTGGAGACTTCCATAAGCAGTGACTTTTAGCCAGGGTTATGGTGTGTGCAGCCCCAAACCACTGGTCCACAGGAAGTTTTTTTGTTGTTGGTTTTTAAGAGGGAAACAGAAGAGACAGTATCCTTTTGCACAAGAGTCTGTGTTTCCAGTCTCTGTTTAAAAACAAGGGCAGTTTAGCCCTTTTGGATGAAATCCTCTAGTTATTGGTGTATGGCCTGTGGGTTAACCGAACTCCATAATCTGGGACTTTTTAAAGATAAGAACCAGGTCAAGTATATGACTTCATAATGGGGTTTCTGTCTCCCTAGTGCTCCCATCTAGATCGGCATGAATGCTTTGGTTGACTTCATACCTGTGTGTAGATACAAAAGGTCTGGAGGCATCTTCATTTTGTTTATTTATTTTAAGTTGTTTTGTCATGTTTTTTGTGACTTTTTAATTTTTTTTTTTTTAATCCATGAGGACCAGGTACAGTAGCTGAAACCCAACTCAGATCCACCATAGGATTCTTTGACTACATACCTCTGTCCTAGAAGCCGGAAAAGGAGTGAAAACAGATTGGGGAGATATGCCTAAAAAGTAATATATTCAAAACCACCCAGCAGTAGGCTTTACTAAGAACAAACTGGGTAAACATTCTGCCATGTTTCTTATTAAAAGTGGCCAGCGTTTCATGAAGGATAACATTTTTATACAGAAGGCAGTCAAGCTCAACCCAGAGCCATGGAGGCAAGTACCTTCATTAGTTTTATATAGTCACAACGGAAATATATTTTCTAGTGAATTCTTACTGAAAGCCAGGTCTCTCCTCTCATTAGCTCAAAAGGGACTCATGTACATATCATAATTGAAAGTGTTTGCTCATAAAATCAGTTATAAATATGGTGACTTTTTTCTGGACCATAGGAATATTATTTCAAAGAAATATTACAACTTAACCATTAAATTAGTACTTGAAGTTGAGCCTTTGTGGTGGGACTTTTTTTAAAAAAAAAAAAATAATGCCTTTTTAAAGCATTAATGGCTAATTGAAGTATTTTATGACTCCTCATTCCAGGCCCAAGAGGGTTGTCTTTAAGACCCCGTTTCTGACCCTGATGTCGCAGCGTATTTCTGTCTGAGGGCAGTGGGCGTGGGCTTGCCTCCCGCAAGCCACTCTGGTCAGGCTGTTAAGCTCTAGTCATCTGTGGAGAGAATCATGCAAATTTTAAAGTTCTTCCAAGAGACTTCCATATCCTGGTTATTAACAAAAAACAAAACAAAACAAAAAAAAAAAACAAAAAAAAGGAAAAATGTAATAACTGATATGATTTTGTAAAAGTATTTTTCTTGAAATAATCTAACGTTTAAAACATTATATTAAAAAAAGTTGTGTGGTGGGAATATGTAAGCAGAGAAGTAACTTGTAAATGGATAATTTTATTCTCTGTGCCACCAATGGGGGGGGGTGACTTTCGCAATGTATAGGTTAAAAAAATCTGATATATCACACCATTTGTATCTAATATGTACAGTGTAAAATTGACTTTAAAAATATTGCAGTGCTATTTTTTCTTAATCAGAAAGGAAAATTCTCAAGGCCTTTTGAAGAGCATAAGATGATGAAGATTGTAAACTTGTATAAAGTTATCTTGGTGAGAAGACAAATTGTAAAGTAGATATTTGTAATCTTTTACCACTTTGGGGTTGCTTTTTTTCCCAGAATTCATCAGAACTTTGAATTTTTTTTTTAATATGGGCTGTTTTTAATGCAGGGGCTTTTCTTCCCTAGAAACCCAATTCTAAGCAAAAAAAGAAAAAAAAACACAAAAAACAAAAACCCCTACAAAAATTAAAAAAAAAAAAGGCAGCAAAGGGTAGTTTTCATCTGGTGTCTTTTATTTAAGTTTTTTAAGTTAAGAAAAGCTGGTGACATATTTATACGTTTTTGTGCAAAAATAAATGAATGGCAATAGATTTTAAAAAATCTTATTATGTACTTCTGTGTGAAAAAGTCTGTATAATATTTCCCTTAAATATGCATTATTTTACTTGTGAGTTTTTTACTGAATTAATCTGAAATGTACAAGCCCTGGATTTGCTACAGAGTGAGAAGTTATTTTATTTTTTTTTTTTATTTTTAATTTTGGAAATTCTGCAGAAATCAGAACTCTTACCATGGTTTGAACTAAAAAGGGGAAGCGGGGAAGGGAGAGGGTGGGATTGTGCAGCATGCTTGTATGTATATTTCAGAACCTTTTTTAAATGTAAAAGCTGTACATTTCTGGGAAGTTCTGAATTTCTTTTGTTTCCTTTTTTCCTTCAAGCATTTTGCAGTGAGCTTCTTTTATATATAGCAAACAATTTGAAAGAATACAAAAATATGTGAAGTTCATTTAAAACTACAGTATAGCGCTGGTACAGTACACTAAAGACTTTGATAAAAAGAAACAATACTAAAAGGCCTCCATTTTAAATGTCATTCATATATACCTTGTGAATGAGAGCTATATACTTTTACACACTTTTTTAGAGGAATAAATTATTGAATTACTGAAACTTTGAGTGGCTTTTTTCCCCTCCCATCCTGTCTTTGTAACAAAATGATCCACACCTGTTCAGAAGGTGTATGTGTAATGGATTGAACATTCCTTGGCTAGGAGCCAGGCTCTACCTTCCAGAGTAAGATGGACGTAGGACTTTACTGCGGTAACCCCCCCTAACCAACAGTTGTTCTCAGATGGTGTTCTCATACTCCAGGGTATTACTGCATTCCTACATTCGTGTTGAGAGCCTACATACACGATGTTGAAGTAGGAGCCCTGGTGGTTAGTTCTGTAACTGTTCGGAGTAGATCAGATCTGTGACCCACAGATGATGGTCAATCCTAGAACAAATTATAAGTCTGTTTTCCACTTCCTTTCTCTTCACGATCTGGGCCAGTTTCTCTTTGATATTCCTTAGAAATAGCAGATCTCTCTTTGCTCTCTGCCCTGTTCACAGGCTGGTGACAGTAGAATGCTATCTAATCCAGCAGGTGCATGCAGGGCGCTGGTTGACTGCACAGCCGCCACTGTGTCCTCCTTCTTGGGTCCATCCACTAGGGAGAACCACAGGCTCTCAGGGGCAGAATCTTGCTCAAATGGGAGACCCCAGGACTTGGCAGAGCTTACAAAGTTTGACTAAATGTTGAAAGAGCTTGCTTTTAACCTTCCTCCATCCATTTAGAAATAGCATTGTTCTGAATTTAACATTGTTAGAGCCTAGAGGGAAAGCTGCTGAGACTGCTCGGCCTCTGTTACTTTATCTGCCAACGAAGGACGGGCGTGAGTCTGAGAAATACTTTGCAAATGGCAATGCTGTGACCATGTTATTGTAGTTGTACCATTGAAGAAGGTGGACAGCGAGGCCACGTTTCGGTTAGAAGACCACTCCCGTCTCTGCCTCCCCAGTCACCACGGCACAGTTTGTAATGCTGCTGGCCAAAAGCATTATAAAAGAACCACACACGCCCCAGATCCATTGTAATCAGGTCAGTCCAGTGATACCTGTGTCCCCTTAATAAGCAGAATTAGATGATAATTTTTACAAGCGTTCATTAGCTTAGATACTTAACTCCTACATTGGGTGGGACTTGATCCAGTAGTTTGTGAATGTTGTTTTCATAACCACTGGCTGCACCAATTTGGCAACCGCAGCCAAACCTCTTTGAGGCAGGAAAAGTTATTTGTTGAGTGCATTTAGACATTTTGCAAATCAGGTGAAGAAAAATCTGACCGGCGCTCAGGAACCATCAGCCTCCAGCCATTTGCTTTGCTCCAATTCCACGCCACTTCCTGTTCCCACTGTTCAGGAAGGTGTGGGGGAGGATTTGTTCCCAACAGTTATCAAAGAGCTAAAAAAATACATTTTTTTGGGTAAAAAGTGCAATTTGTCAGTAGAAGATTTTAAAAGCAGACTTCTCATAAGACTGCTGAAGCAGAAGCCACATACTGAAACTTGTCCTTGCCACTTGTCCTTAACAAAACACAAGCCATGACGTAAAGAACATATTTTTTTCACTTTTGAATCTACCACATGCTAAAATCCGATCAAAATGCAATTTTAATGTATCGCCATGTTATCTTGTTGTTAAACGATTTGCTTGTTTACATCCCCTTGACAACAAGTTCACTTCGACAGTAATTACTTAATGCCATTAATACCTAACGAGACACCATTAGAAAATTCTGTTGTGCCGGGTCACTGTGTGGTTGTAACGAATGCCCTGGGCATCTTACTCTACTTGGAACCAGACCTACCAGTCCTCTGCTACTGCAATTGAAAATTTCAGTTCAAGTTTAAAAAAAAAAAAATATTTTTTTGACCCTTCCTGCTTCTGCCTAAACTCCAAAGTAATGAAGCAGATAAGAAATAGAAGTTGATGAGGAAGAAAGTTTAATCTCCAGGATGGAGCTTGGGTAAGACTGAAGTATTGATTTTTCTCTGTAAAAGGTTATTTCCTCAATAAACATTAGTTACCAGGAAGGCACAGACAACATGAGGGTCAGTGTCACTTTTTTTTTTAAACAAGCAGGGGAGTGAGAAAAAGCACATGTTTTGTTTTAATCATCTACTAAAATCTGCATTTGTCTGGGCTGTTACTCCATGCTGTTCACTTCTAGGCGTCAAAGCAAATCTGTCTTAAGAGCAATTAGTATCACCCCCTACTCAGAACAGGCAGACCACGTACAAATGAGCCGCACGTGGTGTGTCCTGCCTGCTGCTGCCTATTTTATGCCTTCATTGCCCTGTTAGTAGATACGGCACATTGCCATCTACCTGTTTCAGAAAGCCGGACAACCTTCAGGAAAATCAGCCACACCAGAGCTAAGAGGAGAAGGCTAACACAAGGCAAAGTGTGTGCTCTGGGGGAAAATCAGTTTAATTTAACCTATAAAATAGTGCTTGTCTTATTTAATTTGAGCTTGAATATCTTTCAGTAAACATTTTGTCAGTTAGCTTCTCTCTTTTAAATCTTTGTTCACTTAGAGGTCTTGAGGTTCTTAGTAAATTTATATGCCTTGTTTACATAAATAACTTCCTGTCTACTGTCATGCATGTGAGTTCTCATTCTGGAAGAAATAATGGTCACATATACACATGTACACCAATTTTTGTTCCTGTTGATAGATCTCTCCACAAAGCTTAGAGAGGTTATTTCCCTTGTCAGGTCTAGGGAGGTCAGGTGTGCCTCCCAGGATGAAACTGATGACCTTCTAGTCAGTTTTTTGGGACACAGGAGCATTGACCTTACATGACAACTGTGTTGGGCTGAGAGTAGGCACCCAGGAAACGTTAGCCAAACACAGACTCTTGAAAGAGTGGAATCCACCTCAAAAATTGGAAATAATTTAGAAGCAAATTCACCACATCTCGCTGCCTTTTTGGAGAGCAGAAAATATATATATTAGAAAATGCAGGAATTTTTTTTTTTGGTGGTTGATTTAGGTTTTCTATTTCCTCTGTCAATTTTGGTAATTTGGATTTTTATAGGGGAAAAAAATTGAGTTTTCCTAATGTATTAGTATGCAATTGTGCAGAGTACTCCCTTAATCCTGAATGTGTTATTTTTGGTCACATATGTTCCTTCTCATTTCTAACAATATTGACGCAGTTTCTTTCCTTGATTTATTTTCTAGCAGGGTGCTGTTTCTTTGTTTTAATTTTTTCCCAAAGAAACAGCTCATGGATTTAACAATTCTGCTGTTTTTATCCTGGCTTTTATCTTGCTGTTCCTTTTCCCAGTTTCCTTAAGGGTTTGTTTCATTTTCCTTGAATCTTAATTGCCTGCTTAGTTAATTTATTTTCACTTTTGATGACACAGGCATTTAGAGCCCGGGGCCTTCTGGATGCAGGTGGCCCTGCTCAGATGATACACATAAGTCTTCATGTGAGTGCCTTTGTCTAGGGAGAGGGTCTGTTGCATCCCCTTCTCAGAGGTGTCTGACTCGAAAGGGGTAAAATGACTGATCCGGGACTGTGGTAAAACGGATTACATCCTGCAGGTGTTGATGTTTTAGCATTTCATTCTTATTTTTAGACTTTTAGTTCTTCATTTCCTTTTTTTTTAATAAAGGAAAGTTCCCTTCGAATTTAAAGTCTCTTGGACTCTAATTTTCTCTTACTACAATGTGATCTAGTTTTGATCGGTTCTTGCAAACATTCTCTGGAACCTTCAGAACAAGGTGTGTCCTGTTGGGCAGTACTGTCCCATAGAAATACGATGTGAGTCAGAAATGTAATTCTCTATTTTAGTAGCCACATAAAAAGGTAAAAAGGTGAGATTAATTTTAATAATATATCTCATTTAACCTACTATGTCCAGGTTCTTATATTTCAATATAAAATCTTACAAGAATTGTCAGATATTCAGCATTTTTATTTTTGCACTGAGTATTCAAAATCCAGTATTTATTGTACATTTACAGCATATCTAAATCTGGAAGCTAAATTTTCGATGGTTAAAGAGTAAAATGTAGTTCTACCAAATAATAAAGTTGCATTTAATAGGAAAAAAAAATTTTATACCGCATCCCTATTTATTAAATTTTAATTGAATGTTAATTAAAATTAGTTCAATTAACATTCAATTAAAATTTAAAAATTAGTTCCTCAGCCAGGCTTACTGCATTTCAGAGTGTTAGACACATAGGCATCCTTCTGGAAGTGTGGCGCCAGGCATTAAGATTTGAAACCAATTAATTCTATCTTGGGTGTATTTTCTCTTTCTTCTACACCCCTGTCAAGACCTCAGACTCTGTCCTAGGTAGGTAGCAGGAGTTAAAATTTCCCACGGCGATTTTGGGCTGTCCTTTTTTCTTTTGTACTACGTTATTGGTGCATAAAGGTTTATGATGTATTTTGTTACGTAATTTATCTCTGTATCCTGACCCTTCCTAATACTTTTTGCTTTAAATTATCTTTTGATATTAATTTTGCCACTCCTGTTTCCTTTTATTAGAATCCTGGTGTTATATCTTTGACCAACCATTTATTTTGAACCTTTGTCATTTTGTGTTAGGTGTTCTTCATACACATTGTTGCATTTTATTTCTTAACAGAATAATCATTTCATTTCAATAGGGTGATTTTTACCATTTGCATTTCCTGTTCTGTGTTATATTTTGACTTGTCAGCCAATTCTTATGAAAATACACATATTTATTTGCTTTTACTTTTTTAGTTTTGCCTTTTTTGTGTATGGACTCTATTTACTTTTATCTTTGGAAAGAAACGTTCGTCTTTGAATTCTATCAGCGATTACCGTAAAGCAGCCCACAAACATTCACAATAGTCTTGCATTCGTTCCTGTTCAAAAACAAACGAACAAACAAAAACCCCAAGAAACCCTCTTATCCACCATCCCACCTCCCACTCTCATGGGCCTGAATGGCCCACCCTGCAGCAGCCAGCTCCCAGTCCAGGCAGGGCGGCCAGCAAACCCACTCCTTTCTTCAGCCGGTGGTGGGGTGGCTTCTAGGTTCGGCTCCCCTCCAGCCTCCATCAGCTTGCCTCCCAGAGGCCGCACGTCCTGGCTCTGTCACAACCCGGCCGCTCCTCATTAGCGCCTCACTCACTGCGTATTCTCTGGGAAAGCCAACCCGTGGTTTCCAGGAGCCAGTGAGCATTCAGATTCCCAGGCCAGCCCCAGGTTCGGAGCCAGTCGGTGGCAGGTCGGGCCCAGGAGTCTGCATCAAATGCCCTCTACTCCCCAGGCGACTCCGCTCCAGGGGTCAGTGGGCCGCACTTTGAGAAATACTAGTCCAGTTCAACCTCTACTCTGCTAACGTGGGCAGGCGCACGGCTGATAAACAGCCACCCGCCATGACCAGGTTCAAACTCAGGATAGTTTTTCTCCTCGTACTTCCGGTAGGTCAGCTCGTCCTTCCCCGTGACTCCCGACTCCGTGGCGGCAGATCTCCTATTTCCACCTGCCTGCCCGGAAGTCCACGGTCACGCTAGGCGGGGCCAGGTTCATCCTTCCCTCGAGCTCTGTTCCTAGTCCTCATCCCCCCTCCTCCTCAGTCTGGAAAGGCGTTCGGTCCTGGCTGTCTCCGCTTCCCTCTCCCCACCCGACATGTCCTGTCCCTCGCTCACGGCTGGCTAGTTCTCGAAGTCATTCGGCCTTCTTGGGGCTGGGCACGGGGACACTGCGGGCGGCAGGACAGACGCCCCCTCCCGGGCCTGACGTGGCTCACAGCAGTGAGATTATCGGGGAGAGACCATGCCGTCGCCGCGTGTAACGTGAGGGCCACCACCACGGGTAAGTGCACTGCGCTCGCATCCTGGGAGAAGTTGCAAGTGAGGTGGCTGTCGGGGGCGGGCGTGGGGGCGTGCTGCGGAATGTTCCAGGGAGGGGAGCGCAAGGCGGCCAGGGTGCGGGAGTGAGGGTTGGAGCAGGGGTGTAGACACACGCCGAAGGCCGCGGTCACGCGTGTAGGCCGGACTCAGGCGTTAAGGCCTTTCTGAGGAGCGCGGGGACTCGGTTTTAAGGAAGTTAAACACTGGAGCCGCCGACCTTCTAGAACCGTTACTGTGGTGCGGAAGGAGGGCGAAGGGGCAGTCAGGGGTGATGGAGGCCCATACCCCAGCGCGGGCGGTGAGGAGAGGGTGGCGGGTTGGAGGGCTGTTGCGAAATAGGAGCAGAGCCTGCTGACAGAGGGGTGGAGGCTGGTGGAGGGGACTCGGGGACCCCAGAGGTCACCACCTCAGCGCACCAGCAGCGGGGGCCGGGAGGCAGCCGGTGAGGACGGCCGCGGGGTGAGGACAGCCTGGCGGCGGGGCCATACCGTGGCCTGGAGTGTGCTCAGCCACCATAATGGAGGGGGGAACCCGGGCGGGAGGAGGAGGACGAGGAGGAGGAGAGCGGCCGCCCTCGTCCCCACGGCCCCTCGGCACCACTCCCAAAACCCGGACCGGGACACCACTAGTGAGGCCCGGAGTCCGGAGCGAGCGGCACACATGCGCCGTCTGCCTAAGCTCGGAGTCCCCTCGGAGTTCCACAGCTTCGGGGAGCGCAGATGGAGCGGGTCCCCGGAGGGCGAGACCAGGGGAGAGCTCACGGCCAAGGTCTGGGGTGGACCAGCGGCGTGTGGGGAGGAGCAGCGTCAACCCGATCTGCTTCCGGCTCCCGCTGAGCCCGTCTTCCCGCGCAGTCACCTGCCTTGACTTCTTCAGATGCTGCTTAGAAACCAAGATGGAGGTCGGCGAACACCGTGGAACCGGTTCACAGCTCCCGAACTTGGATTCTCCGCCAGGTCACCTCGGATACGGACGGCCGAGGGATCTGTACAGGACCCCGATGATTCTCCCGGGACCCCAGCTGCCCACTGCGGGAACCTTCATGTCTTCCTGTCACCCTAGGTCCTACCTGGGTCTCACAGCGGCCTCCTTGCTCAACCCCGGTCTCCAGGCCTGCCCGCTCAATCCTGGCCGGCTTCCCTGGCCCTCTCGGGACTCTGGCCTGACTGGAGCTTCCACCATCGCGGCACTGACCACACTGTGCGACCCGTCCACCGTTTCCCCCACGGACCTGGCCTTTCCCGCACACAGCAGATGGTCGATGAGCAAGCTGAGTTGGGAACCATGGCTGATGAGCGCTTACCTGGCCATTTTTCTAGAACCTTCTAAACATGAAAGAGAAGGTCTATTGCTCGCACTGTGCCTGTTCCCCTGTCAGTGAGATGGGGAGGTCATTTCCCTGTGGAGCAGATGAGCTGACACCGGCGTGGTGTGTTACCCTGCATGGCCCGCAGCAGGCACTCTGTAAATGTCGGTTCTCGCCTTTTGTCCAGAAGAGTCACAGAAGGGCTTGCTTTACCCTCCACGTGTTTGGCAAGTAGTCATTTCAAACACGGATGAGGTGGATTTCTCTCCTAAACCTGCGTCTCCTCTCTCAAACTTCTCTTCTTCCAGATGTCCAGTTCAAGCCAAAAATCTCGGGGTTGCTGGGGACAGATTGCTTTCTCTCGCCCTCCACGTCTGACCCATTCACTTCAGTCTCTTGACCCCACCTTCAAAATGAGCGCAGAATCCTAGTTCCTCCTACCACCACCCCTTCCATCCCCAACCCACTGTCACAGGAGCCAAGCTCTCACTCACGGGACCCCCTATAGGTGCCCTCTCCTCACTTGGAGCTCTGGGTGGCCTGTTCTGCGTGCACGTTGCACGCGGGCTCTCGGTCAACCCTGTGCCTCCTCTCTTCTGCACCAGCTCAGAAATAAAGTCCACACCGCAGCCGACGCGGCCCACCAGGCTCTGGTCTGAAGCTGTCTTGTGGTTAGGTTGAAGTTATGCATTTGGGGGCAAGAATGCCACGGAAGAAATGCCCTTCCCAGTGCATCATGTCAGGGCACAGGGCGTCCCTCTTTCCTAATATGAGTGATGTTAAGCTTAGTCAAGGCCATGCCTTCTGGGTTTCTCCACTGTCAAGTTATTATTTCCCCGCTCAAATATTTTGGATCAAAGTAAGTTCTACAAGAGCACAGAAACTCATAGTTTTTGTATGTCCAAGATTGTCCACCAGAGGGCGACCTTCACCGGTGAATCTTTATGGGCCCCAAATCAGACGTTTCGTTTCTAAAGCAAGAAAGATGTCAAGGCTGTGTGGGGGCAGGTCAGGATGGCTGGTCTGAGTCGAATCTCCCAGGGGAGCCCTTGCTTGGGTGCACAGCCCCTGGGGACAGAGTCCTGGATGGGCACTGGGGCCAAGTAAGGGGGGTATGTTTGGGGAAAGGATGGTTAATGGTGTTCCTTCAACTGGTTAGAAATGAAGAAGAAATGTCCCTCCTTCCCCTTCCATAGAAACCTTAGAAAAGGCCAGTAAGAAGGTCCTGTGAGTGTGAAACTAAGATTTAGGCTTGCCACTTGCCCAAACCCCAGGGTAGTGGGGATATCCATCCTCTAATTAAACTTTGATTTGGCTGTTGAAAACCAGTATAGACCTCTGCAGGGGCCCAAGAGAACTTTCTGGGATGAGGGATACATTTCTGTTTTGATTGGGATGATGTGACATTTGGCAAAACCCAAGGAACTTTACCTTTAAATTAGATGCATTTTAAGATTTTAATAATTTTGATAATTAAATAATTCCCTAATAATCTGGACTAAGTAAACCACTAAACATTTCATAATTTCTGACAACGTGTAATCCTTTTAGTTTTTAATTGCGGTAAAATACGTACAATGTAAAATTTTACCGTTTTCAGCATTTTTAAGCCGTGTTAACGACATTCACATTTTGGGGGCATCCGCTGCCAGAACCTATTCATCCTGCTAACCTGCAACCATATTAACATGAAAGAGTGCACCTTTCTCTTTCCCCGTCCCGCCCCAGGCAACCACCATTCTGCTTTCCGGCTCTGTAGATTTGACGCTTCCGGGTCCCTCATATCGTCTGTTTGTGACTCACTGACGTCACTTAGCATAGTGTCCTTAAATTTTAGCCGAGGATTTCCATTCTTTATGAGGCTGAATAGTATTCCACTGTTTGGAAACACCACATTCTGTTTTCCCATTCACGGACACTGGGGTTCCTTCCACCTTTTTAGCCTTTGTGAATCGAGCTGGCCAGGAACATGAGTGTAGAAATACCTCTTCAAGACCCTGCTTTTTCTTTGGTGGTATATACCCAGAGGCGGAATTGCTGGTTCATTTGGTAATTCAATCTATAATTTTTTGAGATGCCCCATACTGTTTTGCACAGGGCCGCACCCTAAGGCGTGCATTTTTTGAAAAATCATACACCTCAGTAAACCTGATTTCGCAAGGAAGATGAAAAACCAGGACGCGGTTGGTAACTCGTGTGGGGTAGTGGCGGGAAGCCTCTTTTCTTCCTCTGCAGTTCACACGGGCGAGCTTTGACGGATCCTTCCCATGTCCTTTGAGCTCCAGACTCATTTCTGGCTCTAATTTTACCCTCTGAGACCAACAGGAAGATTAATAGGCATTTTTTTAATGGCTCCCAGGCCTATAGGCCATAACCCCCCCCACCCCACCGAATAAAAATAAACATCCCTGTCCTGGGCTAGCAGCACACATATGCTTATTCTGCCTCCTGCCTCTCGTAGCCCTTTCTAGAATCCCTCATCTTGTCTGGATGTTGACTCAGAGACAGTTGGCAATGAACCCTAACAAGCCGGCCACCCAGGCCCCTTCCAGCCCAG